AAATTTTGTGGGGGGTTGTCGCGCCAAAAAATGTGGACCACTGCCGTTTCCCCATACCACCCCATATTGCAAAATGTCACCAATTATGCAGCAATGAGACATAAAATTTGATTGCAATTGCAGTCGGCTAACCGGAGTGAACTCTGTGTGAAAAAACAATTAATGCGGCAGGGGTACGGGGAAATCGTGCTATTTTTAGTCCCTTTGTGTGAATGCGATTAATGCCTTCGTTCACAATCGAGATCTGAGTTTCCGACTTTGTTTTTCTTATTTTCTTCGTGCTTCATGTGTGGTACTAATTTACAATCCCTGATTGCGTTTTAATGGGGTTAAATGTGTACATACATATGTATATAATATTTGAAGCGTGTTGCGGTAAATATAACTATAAATTAAGACACGCCACACCCAGATTTCACAAGTATATACGATTTTCTTGTAGATTATATCAAGTAATCAATCAAAGTTTGCCTACCCCAACTTTTAAGAAAATTTCTGAAATACTAAATAGTTGTTGGAAAGCAATTGTTGTTGGAATGCCTCTGAGCTTATTGAGCATCATAAGATTTTAGGAACAGGTATCCCCTAGTTGGTATTAAGTGTTTTTCGCCAAGTCAAATCTCCGGGTACTGATAACTGCGTGGTCTACGATACGGGAGCCTACTTGTTTGATACTTGTGAAGACACAAACAATCTCAATGATTTACAGGCCACTCGACTGTGTTTTGGATTGGCCCCCATAAGAGTTGTTTACACGCGGTGTTTTTAACGCAGGCCTGGTCCAAGGGTTTGATTGAAAACGGGAAAACCTTTTCTAAACATTTTTCTATCAAAAACTAGCGTGTGTATGTCCCATTTAAGGTCAAAGTCTGGAATTACGCACTAAAAAGGTGGACACAATGGCAGCCGGAAAGAAAAGGCTCTCTACCCCAAAAGGGAAGTTGTACCCAAGAAAATGGCAACCTGCACGTACACCACTCCAGGATGCCAATTGCGTAATATGGATTTGTTCATAACTTACCCTTGTAAAAAAGTTAAAAGCGTAGTGTGTCAAAAACACTCCGGCCGTCACTTATCAAAATATGTATGGTTTATTGTTAACTTTAATAGTGGTTATTCAAAACGCTTGGACAGCGCTGCAACTTTGGTACAATATTTTGCGATGCCTTTCGACTGTTTTTATTTGAGGAGCACCGCAGCCGCACGGCGTACAGCAGGATACGTTTGACTTTGAAGTCTCCTTTGCCGAATAAGGAATAAAGGTAGGGTTTAAGTGTAAATACAAGATCTGAGTCTGCGCAGTTTTTGTTGTCGTGAGCGAAGACTTTCTTTGTTGTAGCGGAACCGGTTCATTTGGATAGATGCTAGCATGGGTATTTTATACATTTTATTGTATGCTTGAACCATTTCCTCTAGGTTTTTGGTAAGTAGCTGTGGTTTTTAATATTCTTCTGACTTTACCGTTTCCCTAAATTTTTAAATAGCCGCTGAAAAAATTTGGAATTTTATAGCACTTTTCACACCCAAGAGTATGCAATGCTTTCAAAAATATTTTCATTGATAGACAAATAGTAGGTCTCCACTAGAGTTCGCACCACCTCTAAGTACGTTATAAATATGTCGAAGTAAAATATGTTCGTAACGATCTGCTTTTAATTTAAACCTACAATTAAAATTAAATCGTTTAATACATAAAGCTGATATTGTTTAATTTAATTTAATGCACATGGAATGAGTGTTTTATTTTAAATAAACATTTTACAGTTTTTGTACCATATTGTGTTTTTTTCAGTCTAATTTTAACCACTGCTTTCAGAAAGAAATTTATATTATTTATAGCGAAATGAATTGCTTAAGTCTTTATCACATTGTCTATTGTTTCTCTTTTAATTGCAATGTTAAAATGCAGCGTCCTGTCGCCAGCCCTGTTTGATTTCCAGTGGAAACGCCCTAAAAGGTGGCCATACCATCTTCCTGCCAGCCAGTGTGACCGCTGATCAGCGCTTTGGTGTGACCGTACCGCCGGGGCGACTGAGTGTGAGGCTGGACTGCTAATTGTTTCCGTGCCACAAAATCAAACGCGCAGTAGAAATCAACAAGTGATCACCATGTCGGGCGCAGAGACGAAGACTTTCACGCGGGCCGAGGTCGCCAAGCACAACACAAACAAGGACACCTGGCTGCTCATCCACAACAACATCTACGACGTCACCGCCTTTCTGAACGAGGTGAGAGCCACTGGGAACACGTCGGAGTTGAGGGCTGAGGCCTGACGGCACCGCCCCGCCCCGCCACCGCCCACAAATGCGGGTCATCGGTGCTATTAGGTGTTATCTGAGTCCCACTTTTCCGTTGTGCCGAACACCGAACCCCGAACCTCGAGCACACGTAGACACATGTGCCCGGAATCGGACCCACTTTCCGTGCGTGTGAAGTGAACAGCCCCGCAATTAGACCTGTACTTTGACCCCGGGCAGCGTTTGACCTGCGCCCGGATTTCGTAGGTTCGACGCTCATCGAAACTTCCAGCAGCCACTTTCGCCCGTCGAAACTTCAAACTTTTGCAAGAGCTCCACATGACGAAACTATCCATTTGCATACACACAGTAGGTGTGTGTGTGTGTGTAGGGGTCAGATGTTAAGCGAAATCCGCGTCTGCATTTGCATTTGCATCGCATTTGATTTATGGACTTGGATTTGAATTTCGGTTCTTATGAAGGTGCACCGTCGACTGCCGGCTACCAGAAATCCCTCACCCTAACCCTCACCTCAGCCACAATTGGCTCTTCAGCATACACATGCTATCTGTGGGATCAACTGCTCCTATAAGATAAGCTCCGTGAAAGTTCCATTCTAACGATGACGTTGCATTTTTGGTACCTCAAAATAACAATAGTGAGGGTGACCTAGTGGATCGTTAACAATTCCATTCCAAAGTTTGACTACCCTATCGCCTGAAACGAACGAACCAGTCCATGTTTAAAACATGCACCTAATCTGATTCGCTGCGTCCTCTGCTTTTTTCAGAATATAATACAATATGTATTTTGTAATCTTGCGGATCAGGCCTTTTCGAACAAATAGTCAATTAGACTTCCAGATTTAAAGATGTTTCCTCTGCCAGAAGTCGAAATTAAAACTGATCTGATGTTCTTGAAATATAACAAGATAACCTTGCCTGCCTCCACGGTGTTTTTGGGGTGTTCAAAATTTTTCCAGTCCCTTAAAATAAATATTACCTACAATTCAGTAACCTAAGGTAATAATACAAAAAATTGTGAAAATGCTAGTGTTTGGTTTATCTTACAGTCGTTATCAAAACAAAAATAAATTTGATTGAGCAATCGTTCAAAGAATGGTGAAAATTACTTTAGCGTTCAGATTAAATATATTTATAGAAAAGCTTTTGCAACAATTCTACAGGTGCAATTAGAATTCCAGATTTGAAGGTTTTTCTTGCGTCTGTCAAAGTTTAAAAGGGAGTTTTTTTGTTCTTAAACATAATCTCAACCTTTCATGGATCTACAGGGAGGATTGGGTTTTTCAGCAACTTTCCTGTATGTTTCCTGTTCCATCAGATAATCATACAAAATATAGGCAAACCCTTTTTTTTGATTTATTTTATGGTTATCAAAATAGAAACAAATTTCACCACGAAATCGCTTCAAGAATGGAGAAAATTACTTTAGTTTATTGTGTATTGTATAATATAGCGACTTAAAAGCATGTAAATGGAAATTGTTTTATGTATTTTATAGGTTAACCTTAGCTACGATCCCAACGGACAAGATAATCGTTATTAAATTAAATTACATATGTCGTAATAACTTGTTTATCTTTGATGAAATTTACATTACACTTGACTTACGAGACATTAATATTATATGACTTAAACAATAGTGCGAAGGTTATTCAAATTGACTTTTGTACCATCAGTCGAAAATCCAAAACTAGAATTTTACTAATTAAAAGTTACTACTCTAGTAACTGAAATAAATGAAGATATGGAGCATATATAGATAGCACAAGTTCTTAAAGTTCTTAGTCAAACAATCTACAATATTCATCACCATATAAACGTGACGAAAATCGAAGGTGTGATTACCATATACCATATAGCTTCGTATAAACGGATGTTACGAAAGAGTCTTCCAGACTTGGAACCCTAAATCGATCCATAAAATTCAGGGTCAGACTGTCATTAGCATTTCTTCAATACCAACGCGCAGTGATTTATGCGAATATTTACCTCTCCTCTTTTTCGCTCCTCCACAGCATCCCGGAGGCGAGGAGGTGCTCATCGAGCAGGCCGGCAAGGATGCCACAGAGAACTTCGAGGACGTTGGCCACAGCAACGATGCCCGCGACATGATGAAGAAGTACAAAATCGGCGAGCTGGTGGAGAGCGAAAGGACCAGCGTGGCCCAGAAGTCGGAGCCCACCTGGAGCACGGATCAGCAGAACGAGGAAAGCTCGGTGAAGTCGTGGCTGGTGCCCCTGGTGCTGTGCCTCGTGGCCACGATCTTCTACAAGTTCTTCTTTGGCAGTGCCAAGCAGTAGCAGACCCTTTAAAGCCAGCAGAGACTTTCCAGCCCGCTCCGTAGCCACATAGATTATCCACGGAAGCTCAAAAGTCAGCGAAGGATTAGGAGATGGAGCGGGCCAGCGGAGCGGTGCGATTTTTATAGTAAATTTGTGCTAAGTTTTAAAGATTATTTGGCATTTGGCATTTTTGTACACCCCACTCTACACATGTAATTCCTTCAGACGCGGGTCTAGAGTTATGTTTCCCATTGATATTTCAACAATTGAGGCACGAAACGACACCGAACGTTTTAATTCACTTGTATGTACATTAAACATATTTCCAAACAAACAAAACAAAAAAAAAGCGAAATCTGTCAAAATTTCTCGTTTGCCATTAATATTGTCTGCTCACACAGATAAAGTCAAAATTAAGCGTGTAGCGCAGGGGGTAACCATTCGATAGACCAGTACACCATGGCCAAAATCCTCCAAATGGCAACCATGCTGGGCAGCTCCAGGCTGGGACACGGTGCCTTCGGTTTTGACGAGAGGCCTTCGGACGCGGCGCCGGTGCCGCAGATGAAGCGGGAGCTGCCCACGCGCAAGATGTGCCTGGAGGCCTTCAAGCGCACCCACTACGACATCCTCATCATTGGCGGCGGCGCCGTGGGCTCCGGCTGTGCCCTGGACGCTGCCACACGGGGCTTGAAAACGGCTCTGGTCGAGGCGAATGACTTTGGCAGCGGGACCTCCTCCAAGTCGAGTAAACTGCTGCACGGCGGCTTGCGGGACCTGGAGCAGGCCATCTCGCGGCTGGACGTGGCGGCCTTGCGGAGAGTTCGCTGCTCCCTGCGGGAGCGCAGCCACATTGGAAACCTGGCGCCGCATCTCAGCCGGCCGGTGCCCATCATGCTGCCCGTCCACCACTGGTGGGAGGCACCGCTCTACTACCTCAAGCTGAAGCTCTACCATTTGATGGCGCCGAAGGGCACCAAGAGCTTCCAGTACCTCAGTGCCGACGAGGCGCTGCAGGTGTTCCCCATGCTGCGCCGCCAGGAGCTCTTCGGCGCCTTCGTCCTCTACGAGGGCCAGCACGACGACGCCAGGATGTGCCTCTCGGTGGCCCTGACGGCGGCTCGCTACGGAGCGGACATCTGCAACCACATGAAGGTCTTGAGGCTGATCAAGAGCAAGGATGGCAATGTGGCCGGCGCGGAGGCGGTGGACCAGCTGACGGGTAAGAAGTACAGCATCCGGGCGAAGGTGGTGGTCAACGCCACGGGCCACATGAGCGACAGCCTGCGCCAGTTGGAGGACTCGGAGGCCAAGCCGCTCTGCACGCGCAGCTGGTCCTCGATCATCGTCCTGCCGCGCTTCTACTGTCCGGAGGAAGTGGGCGTCTTCGATCCGCACACGCCCAGCGGGCGATCCATCTTCTTCCTGCCCTGGCAGGGCCACACGCTCGTGGGCTCCGGCGACGAGTCGGGCAGTCCGCCCGACCAGGACGCCCAGCCAACGGAGACGGATGTCCAGGGCCTGCTGGAGGGCGTGAAGCACTTTGTGTCGCCCAGTTTCGATGTGCGTCGGTGCGATGTGCTGGCCGTTTGGGGTGGCTTCAAGCCGCTGCCCGTGCAATCCGACACGCTGCGTCACACTCTGCTGAAGAACCACGTGATCCACCTGGGACCGCGCAATATGCTGACCATTGTGGGCGGCACCTGGTCATCCTTCCGGGTGCTGGCCGAGAAAACCGTCAACGCGGCCATCCGCTACGGAGATCTTTCGCCGCTGCGCAAGGATTCGGTGACTGCCGAGTGCTGCAAACTGGACGGAGCCAGTGGCTGGAGCCCGAAGATGTTCATCCGGCTGGTGCAGGACTTCGGCATGGAGCGGGACGTGGCCGAGCACCTGTCCAACACGTACGGGTCGAACGCCTTCCAGGTGGCGGTGAGTGCGCACAGCAGCGGGATGGCCTGGCCCATTGTGGGCAAGCGCCTGCACTCGGAGTTCCCGTACATCGAGGCGGAGGTGAGGCAGGGCGTTCGGGAATTCGCCTGCACGCTGGAGGACATGGTGGCCCGGCGACTCCGCGTCGCCTTTCTCAACGTCCAAGTGGCCAGGGAGATACTGCCGCAGGTGGCCAGCATCATGGCCAAGGAGCTCAACTGGACGCGGGAGCACACGAGGAAGCAGATCCGCGAGACGCGCGACTTCCTCAACACCCAGATGGGCCAGCTGACCAAGGAGAACGCCTCGCAGATGAACATCCCCATCAAGATGTCCGTGCGTCAGGTGCGCATGTATGCCGGGCAGTTCAGCCAACTGGATGAGGACAAAACCGGCTACGTGTCCATCGCAGACTGCTGCAAGGTCATGAAAACAATGGGCGTGAAGGAGGTGCCCGTCGACCTGATGCACAACGTCCTGCGCGACATCGACGTCCATGCCCAGGGCAAGGTGAACCTGTACGAGTTCCTGCTGCTCATGTCCGCCCTGGTGCAGGGCGACACCGGGTACCTGCGCTACGCCCGGTTGTGCTTGGATCAAAGGAAGCAAATGCAGGCCAGCAATGTCCCGATCGTCATGCCAATGGAGCTGGCCGGAGGCGGCCTCTAAACTGCCACCCTCTCCTCTACAGTGATATGAAGTCCATTGACCGTCTTCACATTATACGTAGGAGTCGATCCCTGCGGGGATCGCTGCCTCAACTCAAATTTATTTCACGCACTTCCTGTTCACACAAACTAAAGGGGAAGAAACTTACAAACGGATGGACGGGCTACCCTACTCCTTGGGCTTCTCCTTCGGCTTGTAGGGCTTCATTAGGTTCTCGGAGAACGCCCGGATGCTCTCCGGACCACGCACCTCCTTCTCGAGCAGCGGCAGCTTGGTCACGTGGAAGTCTTCGTACAGGTCGGCGATCTGGTCCAGGTACTTCTCCTGGATCTTGAAGCGGGAGGCACACATGCTGCACGAGTCGTGGGAGTTCTGCAGGAACAGCAGCTGGTTCACAATGATGTTGTGGACGTCGATGCCGCACTTGGTCAGCTCCTGGACCAGGCGTTCTGTCTCGTACAGCGAGAAGAACTCGGCAATGCAGACGCAGACGAAAGTGGTTTGATCCTGCAACCGGAATAGAGCGGTTTAGATACTTGTATGGCATGAATAGAGGTATGGTATGCTTACTGGATTCTTGAACTGCTCGTTGACCTGGCTGATCACGCGCAGCATGTCGTCCAGCTTCTGGGAGAGCGTGTCCGCGTTCACATCGGCCATGCCCAGCATGGAGACGAACTGTGATAGCAGCGGCGCCACCTTCATCTTGAGTCGCAGCAGCTTGCCGAGTCCCTTCTCCACCACCTGGGGGAATGCAATCAGGCGCAGCGTGTGCCCCGTGGGCGCCGTGTCGAACACCACCACCGAGAAGTTCATGCCCTTCACCAGCTTCATCACCTCCGCGTAGCTCATGGCCTCGTCGATGCCGGGCAGGGCGTTGATCATCTCCTGCATGACGCCCTTGCTCACGCGCAGCGCCTCGTTGTCGCCCTCAAAGTATTCCTCGGGCAGCTCGTTGAGTCCAGCGTTTGGGTCGATTTCCATGGCGAACAGGTTGTCAAAACCATTGACCTGGAAAAGAGCACAGACATAGGTTTCACTTATCAACCTTGTGGACAAAATATTTTGTTGACTTTGTTCTAAATTGGGTAACTTACTACATTTATTAACTATTTAATTGCGAGAACCATTAAAATACCTTATGACTTACAAAATACCAAAGTAACATCCCTGAAGTTTTTCATTATGAAGAACATGAATTAGATCAACCTTAGTTTATGCAATTTTTTGTAGAATTTAACTTTTAGTTAGCTTAATTTACATCACTGTCTACTTGTTAAAGAACATTTAAATAACTTTGTCCCAATCATTCCCTTAGGTAGTCCAGTTCTTCGATTAGTCCACCTACCTTTGTGGGCACCTTGGTGAACTTTTGGTCGAATGCATCCGATATGTTGTGTGCCGGATCGGTGGATATAATCAGCACCGATTCGCGCACTTTCGACAGCTGAACGGCCAAGCTGGAGCTAGAAAACACACGGACCTCCATAAGTTGGCCAATAAAGCGGACTTGCTGTTGTTTTACCTGCAGGTCGTCTTGCCCACGCCGCCCTTTCCGCCCACGAAGATCCACTTCAACGAGTCCTGCTCGATGAGATTCTGCAGGCTGGGCTCCAGCGGCTCCAAATTGTCGACCATATTGCCAACTAAGTCGAGACACGTAGGAATTAAAGTGAAATTTTAATTGCAATGAATACGAATTCTGGCGAGGAGTGTGGCCGTTCGTTGCGAATGCGATAAAATAGCGGCTACTGTGTTATCGATATTAAAGTCGATTACTCGGAGAACAGCTGATCACGAAGTGGCAGAGCCAGGGACGGACACTCGATAAATGGCGCGAAACGTCGATTTGAAATGGGTTTCATTATGGGAAATATTCTTAGCTAACCAAAAAATTAGTCCAAATTGCTGGATGTAAAAAAAAACAACATACCATAAGTTTTAAAGCAAGTTACGTCTTGTGGCTGGGTATATTTCTCAATTTCTGCTTCTTATATCGTGCCTATTAAATGCACAAAAGCGCGCTCGGAGCGCAAGAAAATCACAATTCATAAGTGCCGCGGATGCTTGTCCCGCCTCAGCCGTTCCCCGCACCACCACAGCCACGACTGTTAATTGTGCAAATCGCGAGCTTATCAAAACCCTAGTGTCGGCGAGAAAATACGAACAACAAAAGAATATATAGTTATGGGCTACTAAAAATAGTTGTGAAAACACCGATGTGTCTGCGTTAAAAGCAGTGCGTTTAGTACTCCAATTTCCAGTATCCGCGAATCTTTGCGACATAAAGTATTAGCCGCCGCCTACACCGCCCTCCCAACATCGACATCCGTCCGCTACCAGCTGAACTCTGGCGTTAATAGAGGTTTCTTTCTTATCGCGGAAAACGGAAGCTGTGCATACAGTACACACTGTTAAAGAAATACTTATCCAAAGAGTGGCTCTTATATGTACATTATATTGCAAATATGAAAAATGTGGATGTAAGTCTATGTCGCTTTACAGCTAAAGGTTAAGGTATAGTACCTTATTTATAGTTACATTTATCTGACAAAAATAATATCGCCACTAAGTACTGGGTATTTAACCGGTTTTGGCATCATCTTTAACTTAATCATAAAATACAAAATAATTTATATTTATAACACCATAAAATATGCCTTTAAAACAAAATAGCAGAGTGTTTCCCACTATCTTCAAGCTCTTGTTTGTATCAAAAAACCTTTATGAAACTGTAAAAAGAGTTAGCAAAATCAAACATTTTTAGCATTACACTTGTTGGCCGCTCGTTAATTCTCAACAGCTCCACTTTTTTTCTGAATAATTTCGGTGTCATAAAAAAAAAACTAATAATAAACAGTAGTAACTAATTTCAAATTGACTAAATTTGCAACATTCCCCACCTCGTAGTTTTTCTGCGTGGCTTTACTAAAGTTTACTAAGTTTTCTCACAATGCTCAATTTACGAATATTTGAAATTCATTTCATAGAATGCATTTTTTTAATTCTTACAAAACTTAGGTAGTCTTAAAAAAATTGTAGGTAAAGGTTTTATTTTTAAGCATAAGTTTTATTTTGATACTCTCATGGTACTAATTTAATACTTATCTTATTGAGGCATTTTTCATACCCAATAGTTTAAAGTTGATGAAACACTATTTGATGCATTTTCACTAGGGGCGTCCAAATTTTTACTTTATTTCTGCCAATTAGAATTTGTAGAACTTATAAATGTTATATGTAAACTAGACATAAGTGTATACATATGTATGTAGATCAAAAGCTTATCTTGATTCTTATGGAATGCGATATATTTTAATAAAGACCGCGCTAAATATATATTTTCACCTGTAAATTAATAACACATCAATTAATGGTAAAAAGATAAACGCTTGACAACCCAATTTGTAGATATTGACTTGCTGTTATCGCCAAGTCGAAGAAAATATAATAGCCAAAAATACTTTTTTGTTTGACACACAAATACTTATTCACGGCTGTTATTACCTCCAACAAATGTTTTTTTTCCACATAAATATGTATGGCAATCGGTTTTATTTCACTGAAACGTTTCAATCATTTTGGCAGTGCGTTTAAAAATAAAGCGATAAAGTTGGCCGCATGATTTACGTATTGTCCCAGCCCTGGGTTTTCGAGATTCGTTTTTTGCGAGCCTGTGTGTGCGTTTGTTGGCCCATGAAATATGAGCGCATTAAATTTTATGATATTGTTTGGGCCATTCTCGGCTTTGGTCCAAAGCACACAAGCACAAACACAAACGTAAGGACTGCAAACAAGCGGAAAGTTCAAAGTCAAACAATAACACTTTCCATAAACAAAAAACCAACTCACACGCGTGCACAGCCAATTTGCTTGAAATCAGCGATGGCAACGTTTCAGTTACCGTTACCTGGGTTCTCACCCACCGCCTTTTCCCGTTATTTCCCATATGAAGCTTTCAAAGTGAAACTTTGACCTGGGCGGGAAAAGAGGAAGAGGACCCCACTTTCGTTTCTGCGTCGGGTTTTACGAATTCCTTAATTTAAAATTTATTATGCACAGGCTCGTTGTCACAATATGCCATGATTTTACAATTCTATCACAATAACAAATTATTACAATTAATAAACGTATTAGTTTAAATCAGCTATCAGTCAAGAACCTTAAAGGCTATTAGTTAGAAACAACTTTTCACTAAGATCTTTTTGGAACAAATATTGCAAATAAGCTTTATTTTAAAATTACAAACAAAAATAATCCAAAAATTGGGAAAATAAAATAATTATTTAAAAAAAAAACATTAAAGAAAAAAATCTGAACTAAATACATACATATATGATAAATCAATATGACTCTCTAAAATCGGGAGTCCCATATATATTTAGGGCCCATTTCAAACTGTCTCTATTATATTGGCAACTAATTGGAAATCGAAATGGTTCTTCGTGACTTCTCTAGAGGTACCATTTTGTGTGCCCTTACTACGGGTTGTATTATTTCAGTCAGAATTTTGCAACGCAGTGAAGGAGACATCTACAGCCCTATAAAGAATATCAATTCTTGATAAGCATCACTAGGAGAGTCGATCAGTCGGAACGAGCCAGATCGGACAACTATAGTTATAGCTTCCATAGGATCAATCGAAAAAATTAATGAACAAAATGGTAACTTTGCTGTTTCTTAATTTTTATAAGTTCTTTCAGATATAGAAATGGTTAAATAATATAGCGCCCTTAGGAAAAATCGGAATATTCGAAAAAAAAGAATTTGTTAAAAAAATTAACTTCTCTATTTTTAATCTTTTCCTTTTATGCTATGAATTTCATGAATCCTTGAATACATGAAATTAAAATAGCCCTGCTTATGCTTGTGCCTTTCTTTGTGTGAAGTTTTTTGTTTCGGATACAATTTTGGTAGCCTGAATACCAAGCCTAAGGCAATACATGAAATGGTGTTTAATAAAAATTAAAAAAAAAAACATTTGAACTTACACCGGCTTACGAGTCACTGGTATAATAATAATTTCTTTGGGCTAGGTTAAAAAAACTTTATTAAAATCGCTTTCGTATAAACGCAAAGTTTGTGTGTTTGGCTCTGGCCAAAAACAAACAAACAAACAATGGGGGCACTAGCACCTCACATTTAATAATGTGGGGGCACTAGCACCTCACATTTAATAAATGTTCGTGTCTTCGTTTTGTTTTGGGGACATTTCCCCTTTCTCCTTGCCTGTCGCCTGGCCGAGCTTAGCTTTTTATTCGTCGTCCTTCGAGTCCTTCGAGTGCGCACTTTATCAAAGCTTAGCACCTGACAATTTGCCGCGCGACATGCGGCCATCTGCCCTCTCTGTCTGGCGAATTGTAATGAAAAAGTGCTTTGTCTCAGCACTCCTCGCAGTTGTTGTTGCCTCCGGCCTTTTCCACTTGCTGCAGCTCGCTGCCTTTGAGCAACTAATTAAATGAAATCCGATTAGTGCGGCGTGGAAAGTGGAAAGTTTTAGAGTCCTTATGGCATTTCTCGCTGCCGTCGGCAACTTGCTGCACTCTCAATATGCCAGCGGTCCCACATTTTCCGAGCGGAGGAGCAGCCGTAACCTTGAGGTTGTCTACAGAACTTTACAATAGAGGCATTAAAAAACAAAAATTTTAATTAATATTGCCATCAAGCCTTACACTAGTACAGACTAGAAATTTCAAATTAATATTAAGCTAAAGGCCTTTTTTGTTCTCTAGAGTGTTAAGGAAAAGGACCTATATTTTTTTTTATCTCAAAAGGGGGTTTTTTTTAAACATAATAATTTTAACTATGTTAAATTTGAATTAAACTTAAGCTTTTTTGTGCCTTTATAAAGGTAAAAGGTAATCTTGTATTTAAAAAGAGAAAGTTTCTAGTGCCCTTAAATCTCTGTGTCGCACACATTAATTAAGGACTTGTCGTTTGTTTTTCTGCGCAGGACTCCAGTGTGATTAACCATTTGGGATTTTCCAAGGGGTCACAGTGTTTGTTTAGATTCAAACCTAATGGACAACCTGTTTTGAAAGCTTTTATTAAATAGCGGTATTGTGGACACTCCTGTTTCAAGGGCCACTTGAGGTGGATTTTCCGTGGAAAAGCGCTTATTAACGCCACGCCAAGCTGCCACTCTGACGATGGGTGGCGGGTGGCGTTAGTGGCATGCAACAGGCGGCAGTGCCAACGGAGTTTTCCGAGTTCCGCTGTCAGCACGTCACTCAGTTTTCCCCCTGCAGAAATCCCGTTGACTCACAGCTCGCATTTCTGCATAGATTTCCACCGAAAGCGACACTACATTGTGGAATTTCTATTGGCGGTGCCATTGCCTGACGCTTCTGGCCGTGACTTTGAATTGGGCCTTCACCGTCGAGCAGTGCACTTCGAAGACCTCGTCGCTCCAGTTGCAGCATATTGGCCAGGATCTCGCGGTGAGTCGGCTGTTTGCAGGCCACAATTTAATAAATTGGACAAAGGTCAGAAGTAGGTGATTATCAAAAACTGTACTCTTTGATAGCCTTGGCATATTTGTTTTTATCCGAACAGTTACAATTTATCGTAGCGTCTGTGAAGTCGACAAACATTTTGATATATTCGAAATCTATTATAATAAGAACTTTGTTTTGAAAAAAGTGGATTTAAACTTTAATCATAGAAAGAACGTGCAAATTATTTTCAATTATACGAGTTATTATAATGGTTTAGATTACAGAATTACGCATAAAAGTTAAATTAACTTTGCTGTCTTTCTTGTTATAAAAAATGTATATAAAATAAAACTGATATTTTCTAAATCCCTTAAATTAAAAATTAAAAAGGGTAACAAATATACATTCTAAATTCTGAGAGTGACTATTGTAACTTATCGCCCAATAAGGATGTGCACACACACTATTGCTGACCCTGCAAGTTTTTGCATTTATCTCCTTTTAAGGGCGTACATTTCAAATGCACCTGTTAACCGTTGGCTAAATTTATGACTTCCTCACTTGTTGTGTTATCCTTTGGCTTTTGTTTTCGCTCAGCTGTAAGTGCGATAAGGGATGGGAACAGAGAGAGAAAGAGAGGCGGTAAGCGCCTTAAATAAAATCAACAGCACACACACGAATGCAATCTCCACATACAATAGCTACACAACTACAACAACGAATATAAATTGCACATAAAGCGTATTATGCAAGCGGAGGGGGGAGCCCTTGGCGGGGGAAGTCAACCCTTACCCCCTAAGGTCCGCCCGGCTCTCTCACCTTGACGGGGGTGGTGGAGGGGCGAAAAAAGAGCAAGTTGTAAACCGGCAAATGGCTTTCACTTTTCATAGGCATCGGGTGTGTGGTGAGCTTGGTGAAAAAGAGCTAGAGTGCTCTTTTGTCTTAAGAGAGTCCGCAATATTTTTAAAAAAGTTATTTTAAGTAAATTAAATATTTAAATACTAAGTAAAAAAGCTTGGACTTTCCTAAAATAATGTTTTATTTTTTAGCTATGAATTTTACTTTTTTCTTTACTGTAAAATATAATTTGATTTAAATGATATTAAAAGCGTAATTATACGTTATTAAAACATTATTATATCCCAAAGAAATAAAAAAAAGTTAAAATGGAAAGTTAAAATTTTTTAAAATACATTTTTTTAATTAATAAAACACTGAGTTATTCCGACTGTTCTATGGGAGCTATATAATATAGTCTCCCGATTTAGACCAATTTTAAACCGGCAGTTCTAAGACGAGCCAAACGTTGTCGACTTGATTTCAATTAAAACTTCAAAACCTAGAAACGCTGTATTATGATTATTTTTTACTAAACTAAAGCGATATATTAAATATTCTTAATCCATATCCCACATATATATCCCCTACCGGTTCTTCCACCGGTTACATAATTTTCAGCAAATACAATATAACAGGTATAACGAAGATATCAATGTTCGCGCTGCATATTGCGTATACGCAGTGTGTTCGGTTTTGAAACTAGGAATATTGTGATAACCCAACAAATATCTGTGTAATCTTATTTTATTTGACAAAATGAAAATGCATACTTAAACGGCTTTGTGATTATATTTGTAACCATTAAGATGGCTTTTTTTATGTGTGTATGTTACCATTTTAAAATAGAATGCAATGTACAACGTGTCGTATTATCTCTTACAATTTAGTTGAACCTACATTTCAATAATAATAATTATAAAGAAATACTTTTAACGTATAAACAGAATTTCATTATATTTATTTAAAAACTGCTAATTAACCTTTCGTTATACAGTATAATCAACCTTTATCATGGCGTTCAAACGTAACGTAAAACTTTAACTCTCGTTTGTAATTAAACGCCACAAGCTTTTCTATTATCCGTTTCCTAACTTATAAAAACTCCGGGTTGCCTTGGAAATTTAGCCTAAGGTTCAGCTTGAAGCGTTCTCTTCACGCCGGCGAACTCACCACTCGCACAAAGAGAGAGAGCGAACCAAAGAGAGGGCAGCCAGTTTGTGGAAATTGTAATTGAAATTCCAGCGTCGCCGATTCGGCGCCTGCAGTGCGTAGGCGGTTGTCGTAGACTGACGTCGTGGCCAACAGCACGTGCTTACCGGGGCGGCGCGTGCAGCAAACACAGCAGAATCAGCAGCAGCAAACAGAGCAGCAGCTGTGCTGGCCAGCAACAACAACATCGGGGGAGAGCAGCCATAGCAAAAACAACGACACATTCAGTACCAGCTTTACTATCGCAACAACAAAGGCTTTGGGCTAGGCAAAAAGGAAAGCAGGAGGGGAGAGAATTTAACTTGAGTGAAATTCGAACGGATGGAGAAGAGGAAGCAGCAAGACAATACATCAATGCAGGATAACTGTTTTATTGCTTGAAAGAGTGTGAGCAAGAGAGAGAGAGTGAATGAGTGTGAAAATGCGACAGTAAATTAGTTATAAATCTGCACCTTGTTATTTGCACCTAAATCGAAAAAGGTTTATATATTTTTGTTGAAATACTAATACTCGGGAGAAGACCAGAACAACCAGCAAGTAATCAATGTCAATCAAAGTTAATTTACCAACACAAAAACGTATACGTAAATTCTATTTACGCAAAGTATACTCAACAACGAGCGGTAAATAAGAGGAGGAAGAGCAGGCCCATAAGTAGGCAACAGAAGAATTAGAGGCACCAAGCAGCGCAAACAGGATACTTAAAATATCAGGGCAAATACACTCACACACACACATACACTCAAAAGGAGGTTCATATTTTTGGCAAAAAAAACCACCGCACGAAATAAATATAAAATAAACCCAACAACGCTGAGGTGTATGGCCCAAAGGCAAGGCAAACAAACAGAGCCGAAAAAGAAAAGGAAAGCGAGCCCGAAATATGCCGAAATGCTGGACAGAGATTGATGCTGGCTGCCGACGAACAGCAACAAAAACAACAACTGCAAAAACGACGAGCAACAAAAACAGTGGCAACCGCCAAATGTGAGCAGACAAGCGACAGCAATTGAGATATGTAAGTAACGCATATAGACGCATGTTCAGATATGTAGACAGTCAAACATCTTTAATGGCAGCCACCATCTTACTTTTACGAAAAATCCTTTAATTTGTTACTCAAGCTACAGCCAAAGCAAGGATTTGGTTTCTAAAAACTATGCATAAAAATTATTCTAAAGCAACAGAAATCCAAATGAATTTAAACAACAAATAGGTCTTATTTATATGTTTTTGGGACTATAATTTGAAAATTTTAAGATTTTGGTCAAATGTCGGAAATTTCGTCAATATCGGGGACATTTTGCAGTCCAAAACTGAACTGGAAAAGTTCTCTTTCTCGACTTATAATTATTTTCTTCAATTATTCAAAACAACTATTTTGGAAAAGTCTAATACTAATAACTTTAAAACATTTAGAAACTTAACTCTGCGAGGGTAGAAACAGGGTCCAAAGTTCTGAAATAAGTAGAGGGATGTTAGTTCACTCAGTTAAAGCGACTTTTAGAAGGAAAGCAAACAAGGTAGGTAATGGACTAACTCGACTTGTAGAGTTTGATTTGCAGAAGTCTTCTTGTAAGGAAACTGAAATTCGTGTTTGTGCAAAAAGCTTTATGCATATTTTTAAACGTGAAACGATGTGTTAGCGCATTATTTGACTTAGGCACCAAAAATACTAAGCTTGCAAGAGAGAACGAGAAAGAGGGAGAAACGGAGAGCAAGAGACAGCGGGAGACAAAGAGAAAACAAGATGAAGAGTGAGATGAGAGAATAAATTTGTTGAACCTTAGCCCCAGGCAGAGTTGAAGTGAAAAACAAACAGGGCAACAAGGCATATATTCGCACGCACACACACAGCCCACAAGGTATCACACTAAAACGCCACGTTGTTTGCTACCCAAGTTGTATCAACTTGTGCTGTCCCAAGAACCTCGGCCATTCGCGCAGCATTCGAACTCAATTTGGAAGGACCAAATACCAACACACTTGCGCGCAAACGGCACAAAAATCGATGGAACGAAAAAGAATGACGAAAAACGGCTATAAGCAAATACAACGTTTGGGTGCCCAGAAAACTAGGCAACACGGAGGCCAAGACTTGAATCAACAACTTCCCCATAAAGCACGCTTTTCGCTAATGAGAAATCCATTAGCATCGTCTGGATCCCAAAACAAAAAGTAATGCAAAACCAAACCATACCAGACAATCAATTTCGGGGTTCAGAGAACTCGGCAAATTTCATTTTAACGAGTTGAACGATGTTTGCGAAAAAGTTCGAATTTGTTCGACGTTATCGAACCATCAGCAAGTTTCAAAGCAAATAACAAACAATGTTGAAAAAGTCAAATATATGTGATGCTTATAGTTAAATATGCCAATACCAGAATCCCATATGTTCTTTAAAAGTTCCGTTCATCAGGACATTAAGCCAGTCTTAAATCAGTTTTTCTTCTTCTAATCCTTGTTTTAAAAACTCTAAATCAAAGAAATTTATACGATTTCGAAATGTTGTAATTAACAACAATAACAATAATTTTAAATAATTTTTTATTAGCTTTGTTTTTTGGAGACGTTTTGCAAAAAATTTATTTTTTCTCTCGTTTATCTAAGATTTATTAAAGCTTTTGTTATTGGTAAGGCAATTTTGTGTTGCTTTAAAGGGGCTGTTTTTGATGCTTTATATAAAGCGCTTGGTTTTAAGGTTGTTTAATTTAATTCAATTATTTATTGACGTTATGTTCAACGAAAATATGTTCTATACGATTAAGACTTAATCCCCTTAATCTTGGAACTTAAGTTGCTCAATTAGTGCTCCTTTAAAACAGCTTAGATCTTATTCGATATGCAAATATTTAATCTTCGACCTATGCCAAAGGTAAATGACTGAAGAATTAACAAACAAAGACATTGCCCTGGCTGCCAAGATATTCCGGACAACAAAAGCAAAAACAAAAATCACTTTGATTTAATGAAATAGATAAATTGCTGGCTTCGACTGCTTTGATACGATTTTAATGAATCGGAATCCGAGGCAACAGTCTGAGCAAATTAAATCTAAACTGGGCGGTGGGAGGTTATTATTTAATGTCTGTAAACTGCGCATTGAGCGAACGTCAAAAGACATCACCGTACATCAGCTGCAGCTATAGGTCTATGGATCGCCACCTTCCATTATAAGGTTTCACTTAAATGTCAACTGATTGCAATTGAAGACGATGGTGAGGTCCAAGCTTTAATTGACAAAAGCGATGCGCCTGCAAGGGTACTTTAAGTGGGGGGTTGTCTGCTAGAGAAACGCTCATAAATTACCACCCACAAGCCGGTGGCAAGGGCGTAGAAGTACGAAAATCAATTTCCGCTGAAACCGTCGACAATGCAGACAGTGAGACAACAAAACGGCTAGCTGTAATCGAAAGGGATGCCGTGATGTGTATGCCAGTGTGGGGTATTTTCTCTGTCTGCTAATAACTATGGGCTGCATATGACCGCACCTATATGGCTACTCCACTCTACCATTGCTCTTCTCCACAACTGCCTTCTGTTAATGGCTTAATGCACACGATATACAGGTTAATAGCAGGGTCCTATATACTAGCTAACCCCTCTCGGCACTGAACAAAATTCGGACAAACTGACGACAATAAATTTGTGGCAGATTTAGTTAAATAAATAATATCTATGCCTACAAACTAGGTTTATTAGGTCGACTTAAAAAATATGCATAATTTTTTGAATATATAGAAAAAAAAATCTTTAATTCGAGATCCCCGACTGTTATACACCTGTTACTCAGCGAACAAATTTGAAACTAAATATTCCCCTACAAATCAATCGGGGTTTAGGTGGTGTTATCTTTCGACCTGCATAGCCAAGACTAGAAGCTAAGAGCGTGCAGCACCTCCACCCCCGCTAGCAGTATTTTCCTTCTGTCTCTCTACATCAGCGATCACCGGCAGAGCAGCGGTCGAGCAGAGGACTTAAAAACTCTAAAACTTCCGAAATAATAACTCGATTTTAAAAATGTTGAGTCCGCCGATAGATATGACCCAAACACACACACAAAGTCAAAATATCTCAGAGTGACGGGACAGATTTTCGAGGCTTGTGGGCGTTAGAGTGGGCGAGGCTCAGTTTTGAAATAAACTTGCGCTGCGTAAGAATTACTACAAATTGCATTCTAAATCAAAAATTTCAGAGATTTCGACGTTCATACGGACGGACATGGCCAGATCGACTTTATTGAGCCGGAATCGCTTTCTTCTTCCTTCCGACTGGTTTTTTGACCAGTTAAGAAATATGCAGAAATAGCTCCTTGGTATATTTAAATTTTAAATATATGTCGGAAAAGCCTGCAATTGTTATTGCATTTTGTAGAAAATAAGCTATATGTGTGTTTTCCTGAATGACTGGAGGCAAATACAAACCCTCGGTTTGACTTCCGCTTGCGTGGTTCCGTCTACTTGCACACACTTTGCCAGAGCCCCTGACTAAAAAACAGGCAGCCATCAGTGCTCGCCCAGGCATCATAAGCCGTACCACATCGCACGGCGCCACAACAGGCAGCATGCAGGCGCCCAACCGCCCAACCGCCACCCACTCAGGACATCGCGGACAGAGCCACGTGTGCCCGTTGGGATGACAGAAACAAAGCGCCAAGACCGCCGCATTGACTAATGAAAGTGGGGCTTGTGACCCAGCTTCAGACCAGACTTGGGCAACAGAAACAGGGCAAAGCCGGGCCTTCACCCATCCTCGATCGGGACGTAAATTGACAAGGAGGACAATGGCGTTGACGATGACAGTAAATCCTGTTCGTACAATGTATCCGTACACAAATACTCGCACACAAACACTCGCACAGTGAATTGAGCGAACGCATCCAGTAAATTGCTCAACGCTCGCCATTGTTATCGCCTGTGTGCCGGTGGAGGCATCCTCAATCCTGATTGACTGACTAACTGAATGACACACTAACTGACAATCTATCTGACAGAATACATACAATATCTAAGCCACGCGTTTCTGTCTCCCATTTCTACAGAGTAATTACTACCACCATTTATGCCCAATCGGTGAGCTGCCTTTAAATGCAATTTTAGGAAGTCTTCTTTTTGCTCAAATTTGAGTACAACAGCATTTAAAAAAAAAAACGTTGCACAATATTAAGTATTCATATTATAATTTTAAAAATAGGAAACGATAATTTGTATGCTCTTGAGGGTTATTTTAATTTCAGTCAAGAGACTTAATTGTTCTAAATAAATTCCGTCATTTTATAAAATGTAACATTTTAGTTATAGCTGCAAGGGTATATGAACTTCGACTTAACAAATGTTTTATGGGTTTTCATTTATATATCCTAGCATAGATTTTATAAAAACAAAAGGCGAAGCCAGAATTTTACAAAGCAAAAATTTGAGTGACGTTTTCTAAGTTGACCAGGCAATGAAACGCCATAAATTTAAAGTGGTATATATTTGAAGGTATACATGCTAGACTCCAATCAGTTATTTAAGCTTGACAGGATTGGAAATTGAGACTATAGCTGGAGAGCACTGTTCAAACAGTCCGACTGAGTGACAGGCAAATAATGGCCCACACCATTAATTTACCATGAACTCAGCAGAGTCCCACTCCAGAAAGATTGAACGAACACACTATGTTTTCCTCGTTTTCAATTAACTGAAACTTTAAAATAATATTCTCTCTGACTGTTTGCTTTCCAAGGTCCGAACTCCTTTGACGTTTTTTCTAAGTAACTGTTTTATTCTCATATCAATTCTGTGCTGAAGAATTCGCGGTTATGTATCATCCTGCGTCCAGAACTGTAACTAATGCAAAGTGATGCTGTATGCCATACAAAACCCATTGAGTTTTTTACTTAAATGAATAAAGAAGCCAAGATAACTTTATTAAATATTTTTTGTCTGCGCTGGATGCAGCTCATATATGGTCGATCGATTGGCGGCGGAAATGAGACGCAATGAAATGAAGGCCAAGAGATTGGACTGTGGTTTCTTGCTGGTATTGCCGATGTGGCTGTAATAGTAAACAGACACCCATCGATGATGATTGTCAGTCAACGGAACGCCCTTTGAGTGTGAGATGGAAATGGAAATCGAATCGGGCGCCGAGCGGAAGTTGGCAACATTGGAGCTCCTCCTCCAGTTTTAACTCAGAGGCCGCCTGAGGCTTCACCAGCTCCGCCTTCGTCGTTCTCTTGGCCATTCCATTCTTTTCGTTTAAAGCCATTCGCAGCACGCGCCGGCTAACACACACTCACTTACGGCACACAATCGCAATAACCGCACACCAACACATTTCTGATTGCACAATTACCAACAATGGCACACTTGTTCTGCGTCTGTGTGTGTGTGTATGCCTCTAACATTTTGTTTGTTAATTGTATGGGCGTGCCTGGCGCCACGCCCTCTGCTCAGCCTCTTTTTTGTTCCTGTCTGGGGAGCAACAATTCTGCAGCCAATTCTCATAAATGTATTGTACGTGCGGGTTACGTAAGCCCGTACAAAAATTCAACGCTCGTAATCCTTTCTAATCTTTTTTTACCAGCAATATTCAGCTCTGTTCAGTAGCCGTTACCCAAGCGTATATGCAACCTAAATGGCTTTCGCATTGGTTAGCTGTTTTTTAATTTGTTCTATATATTTTTTAGCACAACTATCGATCTGCGGGCTTTCTTAAACAATTATTCGTATATTTAATATTTCCGCTTAAGGGAACGCATGAAAGTGTGATATGTAATATAAAAATTGATCTGACTTACCAGGAAATGTTTGGGAAAAGTTTTCACATCCTAGGATGCAGTACCACAAAACAACACCTGCCTGCTCCAACTCTGCACAAAACTAATTAAATGCTCAGCCGTAATTTATGTGTGCCCCAGACAAATGAGGACGTAACCAGCAAGGAGCCATAAATTTAAATTATGCCCGGCTAAAAGTGAATACGTAATAAATAAGACGAAATACCTCCGTGAAAAAATTGTTGCCTCCAAAAATTCTACGAATAGCTTGAGGGGTTCACACGTTTCTCTTTAGCCTGACCACGACGTCCTTATAATGAAATTCCCGGGACTCCTGGCCACATCTCTGCTGGAATTTGAACTTGCTTGTGTCATTTTTGTATACGTACATGTACGTATACTATACACCTAATCTGTCGTACCCAGATCATGTGGCGGGAACGAGTAAGAGATGTCCGCCAGACATGCAGTAATTGGCTCAGGCCTTATATAACTAAGGACTCATGTGGTGTCATTTTAATGATTTCCTTTCAATTCGGGATGTGAGCGTGAAGCACACTGGCTTGCACAAGATTGATTATGTACAGCAATCTAGTTCGAATATTCAACGGTCAGACAAAACTGTTGCCTAACTGGTTTTCTGGAATTTCAGAGGAATGCCAGCCACAAGTCCAGGAATTTGCAGTCATTTCAATAACTGCCAAGTTCAAATTGACTCCGTTTGTCCTCTGGGAAAACGTCTGAGTCCGACAGAACAATTGCGCAAGACTTGCAATCCGTTGTTAAGCAGTTGCTGATTAACTACAAATGCCTTGGCTATTTCCATACACAAATCGTAATTTTGTGCGCCAACTTTGAGCAAATATTTTCAAGGGACCGCCAGGCGTATACTTAATAATGTTTACCAAAGCAATCAAGAGATGCTCACGGGAAAAGAACTTGGCCTGAGCGGGATTGGAATTTCAACCTTTTTTGTGACAAGGCCGAGATTTCTGATTTGTGATTGGAATTCGAGCGGCTGACACTTGGCAAATGCGCCAACAATTTGGGTAATAACCTTAAATTCAAATGCTGTTGCCGGGACTACTTGCCGCTGGTCTTCGACATAATACAATTTAAAGGCCACGAAGACCCGCTCCCGATTTTTCCCATCCCGGTGCCTGAGTGGGTCTGCTTTTGCGTAGCAAATTTTTGTTGGCAAAGTGAAGATGGGGATCGGACGAACACAAAAGCAAACAATTTATGGTTCATATGAGTTTGGAATTGGTGTTCAGCATACAAATGCCGAGCAAATAGAATTTATGTGTTTATCCTGTCCTTGCCATTCCTCCGACTTCAGATTCAGACGTAATGAGAAGGGTGGACCTTAATGGGAGTAATATATGCATATCCATGTGCGACTGGATATTTGCTCGGTTAAAGTGAGGAAAAGATAATAATTTGATTTCTGGAATTGCAGCGTAGTTATAATTATATTTTATTTTTTAGAGTGTCGTCTTTTTAACGGCAAAAATAAATAAGAAAAAAAATTAGTTTGGCTTAAGTGACCTGTTAATGAATACAGAAGTCGCTTGCTTAAATGATGGTCATAAGAAAGTCGTGACCATTGCACCTTAACTTTTTTACGAAGGAAGAGTTTCCGACCCTATGAAGTATATAAATGCCACTTAGGCTCTGCTCTGGCCAACTTGACACCTACCTGCAGTGATTGATCTTAATTGGGTTCGTAATTGGAACTACCATTTGTTGACACACAAGTACACCTGCACTTATGCTTTCGAACCTCACCTGTCCGGCTTGATTGCATCGAACTAGTGTCAATACACGTCCTTGACACTTGCGAACTCTGACGGCTGAACCATGCCTGCCAACACCACGTGAGGCGGGTCAGCGGGCGTGGCATGGGTGTATGTGTGTTTTGGTCTTCTTCAGAACCTAACTTTGCTTTAATTAACCTGTTGGCTGTCGTCTCGCTCTCCGGAAACCTGATGCTCACTCACTCTCCCATGCAGCCGATTTAAGTAGGTCATAGTTGAACATTGTCGAATTTAGGCCTCTTATTTTCAATAGCTTATTACCTATATGCTCATATGTACGGACATTAATCATTGGGAAGAAGCATCAGTTTAAAATAATATAGTGTTGATGTTCAAGTTGCTCAATTATGTTAAAAGCATTTAGTCTGCCTAGTAATAAACTAATATTTAAAAGAGGACTCGATAAATTATGTTAATGTCGCAGTTGGTAGTAATCGCGGTAAAACAAACAAGACGAAATGGTCACAGTTAACAGCAAAATAGCTGGTGGTGCTTATATCATTAACTAATCCAAGCTAAAGAACGAAGTAATATAAGCACACATTTAAAAATTATAATTATTTTATTTTGTATATTGGATTTGGTTGCGAGAATTTATCTTTTTTTGCAGTTTAAACAGACTTAAATCTTCTAAATTTTCCATTGTATTTTTGATCATTATTTTGTAAAATATATATATTAAATATATTTTTTTTCCTATTTCGTCAAACCGAAGGGTAAATATTAAAAATTAAACAATAATAAGTTTTTAAGACATTTGAAAGCTGTGCAAAACACTCAATTATTTTGGTTTGCATTGTTTACTTATCAGAGGACATTACCTTAACAATGAATGTTAGCAATTAATTATTACCCTTTAAAGAACTTAAGAAGGCTTAGGCTTTATGCTTTGGTAAACTTCTGATTAACTTATTTTTCACCTAAATAAGAAGAACTCTAAAACCAAATTCGTTTTCAAATGTGTCATCTCTGGTGCAGAATGGTTGAATTCGCTTCAAATCGGCTTTTGGCCACACAATACGAACACCAGGATCGGGACAGGGCTCCGCGGGGGTCCATTGTGCTGCGAGCCGACTAATGGCATTCATTAGACACAAAAGGCCAAATTGCTTGGCCCGATTCCGATGGTATCGCTATAGCTCACATATAACCCGGCACACAGACACCGACTGCACTTATTTGGACTTTTTGTGCGATCTATTGTCACGTGTGCGCTTGAAAGTGTGTGAGTGTGGGCTATTGTGTAATTGATTTCGATTCCTGTGGCCAAAAAGGCCCCGCAACTATTTGCATGACCGGTTTTATTTAGTTCTGTGTGGGTATTCAGTATTCCGTTGGGAGTAGTCCTCTTTTGATATGCATGGCATTCACAACGCCGGCGTAAAACAAAAAGTCGGGGGAATTCGCATGCGGATCACATATGGCCAAACTCACTAATCAAATTCCATTTCCCTCCGAACTTGCAGATTGATTCAGCCAAATCACGTCGATTAAGACATGAACGCACTCGATATGAATAAGCAATTTCTGAGCGTCTCCCAGGACCAGCAGCATCAGACCTCGGTGGCGGACCAGCGGAGTCGCTCAAGGTAAGCTTCTCTGACTAAACAGCTTATCAGATAATAATGTTTCAACATTTCAGATCGGAGCGCGCCTCGAGCCTGGCGCTACCCCTCAACTCCCTGCTCGACTTCTACGACAAGCAGCAGGAGCAGTGCAAGTCGGTCACCCTGCTGCCACTGCCCAGCCACAGCGGCAACATTAGCGAGAGCAGCCACACATCCAGTGGCAACGGCTCCAGCAGCAGCAGCATCGTGCGGCGACACTCCTCCCACTACTATCCCATGATCGAGGACAAGCAGAAGCCGTCGCAGTTGCCCCTGGCAGCCACCGAAATGCTTGTAAGTAGAGATATCCTGTGGGGGATTGAAACGGGAGTATGTTTTCCTTAATTAATCTAAAAGTTGTAAGTAGTAACCAGTTTTTCTTTTAGTAATATTCTACTTCTAAATAAAAATCCATTATTTAGTTTAGTTTTACCGTCGAATTCCTTAGAACTGTCTCTAGAATGCATTCCACCATACGATTATAGAGCTCTCAATTCAAGTTTACTTTGCTATACCACTAACCATACAACATATGTTTTATACTTACAATTTTCTATACTTAGTACACTGCCAATCAAATTAAATGGGTACTTCTTTCTTTCATACTGCTTTGATCATTAAGGGGTTATACACAGTTAAAAAAAAACCGAAAAAAAAATTTTATGAGAAAATTGTTAAATTTAATTATCTGATATTTTTTTATTATGTTATATTTTAACTGTATTTTAAGACTAAGTAATGGAACAAATATTTATTTGAAAAGGAGCTTCAGCTTATTTTTGTGAGTTCTTCTCAAAAAAGGAGTTTTGCGGGGACCACTATATCTTCAAACTGAATCCACAAAAATTTAAAAATTAAAAGAGATGTCGTTAAAGTATTGTTTGAAAAAATGACGGTTTCTCGAATAAAAAATTCATTTTTGAGCAAAACTTCGATCTTAAATTGCTAATAAAAAAAATGTTTAACGGTTAATTACTAAAAAATATATTTAAGAAGCTCGTTTAAATTTGAAACAAATCGGTTTAGCCGTTTCCGAGTAATGTTGGTCACCGACTTTAAAAACACCATTTTGATCAAAACGTGTTTAGAGTTTGTACATGCAAGCACTCTGAAACACTTTTTAAAATTTGGGTGTAACTTCGAAAATATTCACTGAAATTTTCAGTGTGTGTTCTTAAATATATTTATATTAACAAAATAAAATAAAAAAATACATTTTTTAGCTGTGTATGTAACACTTTAATCGTAGAAAAAGTTGTACAGTAAATTTTGAACAGAAACAGTATTAATAAGAGAAAACGTCAGCAAGTAAACGACTATATAATTTCGATTTATAATAGTAACACAAGGACCCAGCCCTGTTTCTGTATTTCCAAAGCTAAAAATTGCCTGTCCTGGCACGGTTGTTTTAGTTGAGGAAAAACTCAAAATTTGTTCGCAATGGTCGTCAAACTTTAACTTTCCAATTTCATAAAATGCAGTAGAATGTCAATGCTGAAATAATTTTCTGAGAAATATTTTTTATCACATTTAGGGGAACCGCATAAATACTAAGTATTTTAATACGAGGGCATTTTTTGCTTACGATGCAGAAAGGCGAGTTTCGAGTGATGCGCAGAAAAGAGATTAGCGTCCGTAAAGTTTGTCTGGCTTTGTATGTCTTAAAAGATCGATGTGGACGGCAAGCAAAAGCATTCCGGCAGCTCTGATTTTATTTTAAAGTATGGCCTTGTCCTCGAATCCACACAGAGCTATTTTTCCTTTTTTTACCTTCCGGGGCCGCGTCAGGATTTCTGCTTTCGGCTTAGTGATGGCTTAGTCCCTGCCCCGCAGCCTTATTCTGCACCTGGCAGGAGCTTAAATTGCAGAATATTGCTACTGGGTAATATTGTCACAGTAGAAAATCGAACGAGTGAACAGTACGGTGGGAAAACTTATATAGCAGTTTCTCATTTACTTTTATTGTTCTATTCCTTGGAAATTTTACTTTTGCTAACTAGTTTATTAGTATTACAAATTATTTTCAAACAAAGTTTTTGTGTTTACTTTCATATATTCAAATATTTTATATTTATATTTAAATGAACATTAAATTTCCCAAAAGGGCTAGTTTTAATAGATCACTTAAACTATATATTTAAAATACGTTCCCAAATGTTGGGAAAAATATTATTTTTGTGTAGTTTTATAAGGCCCTCTACACTCATACATTTCTAAAAATAGTCTTAAAAAAATGAAGAATGAAAGACAGCATGGTATGTTCTCCCTTTTATGAAAATGAAACCGGATTACTAATTGTGTTATTAATATTATGAACTCCACTTGTTCATATTTCATCGGAAAAAGTCTCCAGTCCAATTATGCAGAAATACATGCTTGTTTATATGCATTGCTCTCGTACGATTTTCTACTGTTTTGGCCCAGCAACATTTCTGATTTCTTTTTCCTCGAATTCTTTCATTTCGCCGCTGGCAGGTAAACATGACAGAGCAGAAATATGGCCAGTCAGCGGGAGGCAGGCAGCTCCACCAGCAGCAGCAGCAGCACTTGGTGCGGGTGGACACGCCAGTGACGCCCCCGCCGCCCATACCGCGGCGCCTGCTGCGCGGCAAGTCCGCCTGGCAGTCGTCTAGTCCCAACCCATTTCCACTTTCCGCTGTTGGACAGGATGGCGCCCACGGCACGGGCACGGGCACGGGCACGGGCACGGTGTTTGTTTATCCACAGCCAGCAAACGTGACCGCAGAGGCAGTGGCTCGGGGACCGGGCGACGGAGGAACTGGGCTGCAATCAGCGCTGCTTGTTGACATTGTCACGCGTCCGACGTCCGGATATGCGGATGCCGATGGGATTTCCGATGACGACCGCATGAGTCTGGAGAACTCCGTGTTCGACGAGTCGCTAACCTCCACGCCCGTCAAGGTCGCCGGCTATCTGGCCGGCCGCTACTCCGGCCTGAGCCACATGGCCAAGCGGGCGCAGCGCTCATCCAGCAGCACCGTGGACTCCGCCTACGGCTCCTCGCTGGGCGGGCACAGCGAGCGCTTTGCCAGCAGCTCGACGAGTGTGGACTTCCGTAGTCGCTTCTCCTCAGTGGACACGCAGTCCTCGCTCGATGAGAAGCCTATGTCCAGCTCGATTGACTCTCCACTGGGCAGGGATGCACGGGATGCCCGGGATGCGTATAGGGAGCGCGCTGTGCTCAACGATGCCATGCACAAGCTGAACAACAACAACAACACCAGTCTGGGACTGGCACTTTACCCGGCCAGTAATAACAACAACGGCAGTGTCAGCAGCAGCGGAGGAGCCAACGGGTGCAAGCTACCAGTGGTTCCTGCCCGCAAGCAGCCGCCAACTGTTAAGGGCAGCGGCGACAGCAACAGCTCGATGAGTGAAACCCAGTCGCAGAGCTCCAAGGAGCCCAGCAGCGTCTCGGCATCGGCATCCACTTCGTCCGCCGCCTCGGCAGGTTCCAGCACGATCTCCAGCGGCACCATGTCATCCATGTCGGGGCCGTGCCCGGTCGCTGTGCCGGCCACCGATTTAAATAGCAAACGTCCAGGGCCTCCAGAGCCACCTTTGCGGCAGGCCAATGTCTTTGATGCCACGGAGGCGGGCTCACGGGGTCATCCGCCGCCTCCTTTGACCGTGCGCAACAAGTTGGGTCGCAACAAGCCGCCGCCCATCGTCTATCCGCGCATGCAACAGCGTCAGGACTCCACGCTGTCCAGCGATAGCTACTCGATCAGCTCCAGTCCGGGCTACAACTCCAAGCTGATGGAGGCGCCGCTGCTGGGCTCCCAGCAGGTGGGGCGCAAGTCCAACGCCCCTGGCTCTGCTCAGCGGCAGACTCCGCTCATGGATCTGGCTCCCACACGCTTTTTGGGTGGCAGCGGAGGGGCCGGAAGTGGAAGGCAGGCGCCCGCAGTGCCGCCGCCAAGGGGCCGCATCAACTTCCGCCAGGACTCGACCATCTCCAGCGACAGCTTCAGCCAGACGTCCAGCCCGGGCTACAACCCCAAGCTCATGGAGGCGCCGTTGCTGCCCTCTTTGTCCGCCAAGCGGCTGTGCAGTGGTAAGCGTGAGTCCTATCGAAATCGCGGGCATTTCACAGCAATCGTCTGTCTTTTCAGCGCCAGCTCCGATTGTGTGCCGGCAGGGAGTGCAGCACGAACCCATCGAGGAGCTGGAACCGCCGCAGACGATCTCGCCGCTCCATAAGACGACTGGCCCGCCCAGCAGCCTGCAGACCATTGTGCGCTTTCAGAATGGAGCTCCTCACACCATGTCCTTGCAGCATCAGGTGAACAAGTGTGCTGCATGAGGCACAGAACGTTTGTTTTATACTTACTTTGGCGGCATTTTCAGATTGTCAACCGACGCAAGAGCTCCAACCCGTACATCACGAATGGCCGCTTAAAGTTCCGCCTGTTCCAGATCCTGATCAACGCCTTTGCTCTGCTGGCCATCGCCGGTGGTCTGGCTGCCTATTTTAATGCCTATCCGACGATTAAGTTCGTGAACAAGACGATCATCAACACGATCCATGTGGAGGACACCACGAATTTCGGCAAGAATCCAGCCCCCGGCACCTGCCTGCCCATCATAGTGCGCTTTTGCCAGGGCCCCCAGATACCCTACAACTACACCGTGTTCCCCAACTATATCGGTCACTTTGGCCAGCTGGAAACGCAAACGGTAACTAACTAACAATATTTCGAACAAGTAGGGAATGACTTGACTCGATTACAGGACCTGGATTCCTACGAGGCCCTCGTCGATGTGAGATGCTACGAGCTGGTGTCCCTCTTTCTCTGCACGCTTTTTGTGCCCAAGTGCGGACAGAGTGGGTGAGTCTAGTCTGCATAGCTTACATTAGGTCAACAAAAGTTAAATACCCTTCACAAATACTATTCATATCAATAAAACTAGTACCTGACCAACATTTTCCACGAACCATTTGTACTTTTCCATGGTATTTTGGTGCTTCTGCAAACTTAGAAAAAATACCTATGAAGGTGGATTAGGTTTTAAAACTATATTCTTAATTTTTGATTTCTAGAAAAAAGAAATACCGCTAGATCCTGTTGTCCTCATTTTATTAATTTTTAGAAGTCGGAGAAATTGTGTAAAATTGGAAATTTCATTGACAATTGTTAAAACCGCGTTTTTTTTTAAGTGCGATGGTGAATCGAGAATGTTTTCATGGAAAACACTTGTAATCAAAGAAGGAGGCGATAGCAGTTCCGAAAGAAGCAAAGCTAACATTTTTTAAAGCGGTTTTCTGAAGCCCTGCCGTCGGAAATGTTGTTCAAAATAATTTTCTGCTCACATAGTAAAAATATGTTTTTATACTCTTGCAGAGGGTATTATAATTTCAGGCAGGAGTTTGCCACGAGGGAGATATCTCCGACCCTATAAAGTATATATATTCTTGATTAGCATCACTAGGAGAGTCGATCTAGCCATGTCCGTCTGTCCGTCCGTTTCTACGCAAACTAGTCTCTCAGTTTTCAAGCTATCGGCATGAAACTTTCCCCAAAGTTGTCGTAATATTGCATGTAGTATATAAGTCGGTACGACTTTAGCATAAAGCACCCATTGGAACAATTGAAAAAATATATGAAAACAAATTATAGCATTGCCATTTTTTTTGATAGTCCAGATTTATTTCTTTTTATCGGAAACGACATCATATAGCTGCCATAGAACAAATCGAATAATTGAGCTGAAAATCATCTTAATTTCAATAATTACAAACATATACGCAAATAAAGCGAAATTTTAATGTTCTCAGGAATATTGAATTTTTTTTCTTGTTTATTTTAATTATGATAAACATAATATATGATTAACCAGATAAAAAATGTTACTTTTCCCACATTTGACCAATGAAATCAGGAACCGCAAAAGGGAGATATGAGTTTTTAAAATTGAACCTTAAAAAAAACTCCCAGAAAAAAATGTTATAAAATATGTGTTTTTTAAAGCAAATAGCAAAACGTTATAAACTTTTTTTCCATTTTTATTAAACCTATTTAAATTGTTACTGTCCTTGGATCAAATGAGTCTTTAACGCCAAATGAAAATGTATTTACTGTAAAATGAAATGTTAGCCAGTTAAATTAGTAAAAAATGGTTGCGATTGTTTTCAAACCCAAAAAAAAAATCCTACATAAATAAGTGATGCCATAGAAAAATGATTTGTTAAGAAAATAATAAGGTTCCTTGTATTTATATATTATATGTTAGCTTATGTTTATCTCCTAGAGCCGTTCTCAGAGAAAGAGAGAGGGAGAAGGGATGTTATGTGCATAGATACATATGTATATGGATCAAATTGTTGCAGTCGCCAAGCTGTGGGAATAAGCTGACGCAACTTATCACTCGCTAGTGGCGTTTGTGGTCAAATTACGTTTGCACTTGAAGAGTGCTGATCCTGCAGATTTGGCTAACATTGTAGCCGATGGTACAGTGTGTACTCTGTATGTATGCATACAACAGTTGGTTACGACCTTTGTCGTCTAGGAATCCAACTCCGCAAGAAATTTGCATAAGCGGCGTGGGACCATTTCGGTCTAAACTAGTATAGCTAAAGTCAATATATTAAAGTATTAAAGATACTTTTAGTAATGACAGTCATTTGTTCTTACAGCGCCACTGTGCCCCCCTGCAAGACCCTCTGCACGGAGACAATGCGCCGCTGCGGATTCTTTTTCGACGTGTTTGGACTCAGTCTGCCCGAGTACCTGAACTGCAAGCTATTCAAGGACTTCCCCAGCTCCGAGGATTGCGTGGGCGTAGATGAGGTACGCGATGTGATGCAAGCCGCCACGCATCCCAAGTGCGATGGCTTCCAGTGCGACCAAAACCGCTGTCTGCCGCAGGAGTACGTGTGCGACGGCCACCTGGACTGTATGGACCAGGCGGACGAGGCCAAGTGCGACCGGTGCGGTCCGGACGAGATCTACTGCGGCGACAGCCAGTGCATCGGCACCAAGCACATATGCGACGGGATCATCGACTGCCCCTACGGCCAGGATGAGCGCAATTGCTGTGAGTTAAGAGATCTTAGTTAGTTGGGTGTGACGTTCATGTTTCCCCAATCACAATCTAGTGAGGCTGAGTGAGCGGAATGGCGATGTGGGCACTGGTATCCTAGAGGTCTATCGCATCGGTCAGCGCCAGTGGATGCCCGCCTGCGTGAACAATTGGGATCGGGCAGTCTCGCCCAGCGCCGTGTGTTCCATCCTGGGCTACTCGGCCGTGAATGCCACCAATATCCTTACCCATAACACCCGTCGTGCGCTACTGGCCTCGGTAAATGTGTCCACCGACATGTGGAAGATGTACGCCAAGAGGAAGTCCACTCTGATGCAGGAGTTCGCCAACTGTAAGATGTCGGAGGACTATCCGATGGCCGACCTCACCTGCTCCAATTACGGTGAGTGCTCAAGAAAGAGAAAGCTGCATTGGGTGTTCACATATTAATTGTTTTAGAGTGTGGCCGAGTAAAGCGGGGCAGACACAAACCATCGAGACGCATTATAGGAGGAACTCAAGCTAATCCCGGCAATTGGCCATTCCTGGCCGCCATTTTGGGCGGTCCGGAGAAGATATTTTATTGCGCCGGTGTCCTTATATCGGATCAGTGGGTGCTCACAGCCTCGCACTGTGTTGGAAAGTAAGCCAGGCTTTGGATAAAATAATGTTTAGGTCCGTAAACTCCCTTTTTTCCTGACAGCTATAGCGTTATCGACCTGGAGGATTGGACCATACAGCTTGGGGTAACACGTCGCAACTCTTTTACCTACTCGGGTCAAAAGGTCAAGGTCAAGGCTGTCATCCCCCATCCGCAATACAATATGGCTATTGCTCATGACAATGACATTGCTCTGTTTCAGGTGAGTTTAACTGGTACGCCGAAGGTGAAGCTTGGTTCTTACTGTTTGGAATCCCTTTCAGCTGGCCACGCGTGTTGCCTTCCATGAGCACCTGTTGCCCGTTTGTCTACCGCCACCGAGCGTGAGGAGTCTGCATCCTGGCACCCTGTGCACCGTCATCGGTTGGGGAAAGCGGGAGGACAAGGATCGTGAGTGGAACCTTCGTCTTTTTGCCATTACTCCCGGATTGAACATAACTTCTTTAACCCACAGCCAAGTCCACGTACGAGTTTATTGTAAATGAGGTGCAGGTTCCCATCATCACGCGCAACCAGTGCGACGAGTGGCTGGAAAACTTGACCGTGTCGGAGGGCATGGTCTGCGCCGGTTTCGATGATGGTGGCAAGGATGCCTGTCAGGTGAGTACTTCCATTCTGTACCCTCACCTCACCGGATAAATCAAAGCAACCCAAATACCAGGGCGACTCGGGCGGTCCGCTGCTGTGTCCGTATCCGGGGGAAAAGGATCGCTGGTTTGTCGGCGGAATCGTGTCCTGGGGCATTATGTGTGCTCATCCACGGCTACCAGGTGTCTATGCGAATGTGGTACAGTACGTGCCCTGGATACAGGAGCAGATCGCGAAGCACACTCGTCCCATCAACGAGGATCGGGTGAACAAATACGACCTTCATCCGGGTGGTCCGGACATGCTGTCCAAAATAGCCACTGACCCGATGCGAAATGGTAAACCCTACTACTACACCCACTCCAGGACGTCGTCCAAAAACTAATGCTGGCTACGATGAGAAGCTACGAGGAGAGCCAGATTCAAGTCTCACTGGAACAGAGCATATCCACGATTGCACAAAGTACTCAAAAACACAGAACACTTACATATATTTTGCTACTGAACTTAAGGTATTAGCCATCTGGCTAACACCGATTTGGGCAACATAATCATGTGTCAATTTGCCGAATTTATTTGTCAATTTTTTTACGAAGAGATTTCTATAAACCTAAACCGCAAGGAAATGAACAACCAAGTCAAACGGAAGAAATTAGCCCAAACTGGGCGCAACCAAATGTCAATACATATTCCATACGCGATTTATATATTTACACGTAAAACGAAGCTAACCAATATGTACCCAATATCTAACCAATTGATAATTGTGTCTAAATACCCCGAAACCCGGACAATAATTAGACTTTGTAGCTTCATTTTGTGTTGAAAGGTCCCGGACAAAATGAAACCTATATTTAATAAGTATTTATCCAGAAAGAAAATGTATTATTAAACAAAAAAAACAAATTCAGAAAAATATTAGAATCACAACTATTGAGTGTTGACAATAAAAACAGGAACTAAGCAAATCAGTTGTAGATAATGTGTAACTATAACTAAACCAAAAAACAAGGAAAAATTGCTGATCTTGGGCATTTGATAAACGTAGCTGTTAGCTCTTCCCCAAACAAAGAATCTATTCAACAATAAGGAAGTGCAGTTTAAAATAATGAGACATGAACAATAAGCAAATAAATGCATATAGCGATAAGTCATGAAAATACTAACTACAATGCGTGGGTTTCAGCTTTAAAGAACACAATAAGAAGGAAATAAGAATAAATGGCAGACGTCAGAACAGAAGGATTAGAAGGAATATACACATAGCATACGAATCGTACTATTTATGCGGTGACTACAGAAGGTATACACGCTTCGATAGTGGATATGTCAATGTAACTTAATATTTAGAACTATTTACACGCTAAAGCAACTCGTTTGTCACGCCCCCACTTAGACTGGCCGCTTTAGTCGAAGCTCAATGTAACGCCCTGATTTTCAACTCCAATCATCCATATTCCTGGTGTGCAACTTAGTATGCTAACGTGCAACAAATTGTACAACTATTTTGCAAAAGGCTCGAACGAAAATAAATGTAAAATACGCGTAACTAAAGACTCAAAATTGGTTGTTCCAACACACACATAACACACAAACATTCTTGGGCTTCGAGACGTGTACAGCTTTGATATTGTTTTCAAGCCGGAAGAGTGGCCCAAAGCCGGATTTTATTCCTAGAGCTCGACTTTTTCAATTTATTGTTTCTAGCTTAAACCTGTTTAAATGCTTTGAGCTGAGATCCGACGGTCAAGTTATTTGAACAAAAGTATGGCTATGCCTTGTAAAAGAACATGTATGAACATTTAAAACGCATTAGTTTCTTGGCCATCGCACTTCATTTTGTTCAGATAGATTGACCGTCTAACCTGAGCTCAAGCCAAGAGATTGCAAATGTATAACCGATCCCTACTAGATATAGTTGGACATATTATGCCTACATATATATATGCATGTTTTGTACAATCAGTTTACAAATGGAAAAGTATTATTAGTCTTAATGGGGGTTTAATGAAGCGCATATTACACAAGGCACATTATGTTTTAAGATGAACATGAACACAAACAAATATGTAACTGAAATATATACAAGAAATATACATATAACGAATACATATATTCTATATATATATTGTAGTGGTAGCTATTAAGCAGATGTGATGGTGTCTAAATTTATACATGCATATTATCAAGCGAAAAGTGTTAAGCTTAGATTATACTCGAGACAAATCTGTGGGCTGTTGTAGATCGAGCATACTAACTACATATAATGACAGAGTACAGAGGACGGATCTAGGACAATACATACTTACAAAGATATACCCATATCATGTGAATTATGCTTACTTCGATATTGTGCATTGCATGGACGTATAACGGTGTGTTTCTGAAATCTTTATAACCATAAGTGTCCGAAATCGGGCGACAGCGTATTTCATTCAAAGTGTTGGTCTCGTGTGTCACTAGAGGTTTCAGGAACCCCTCGTTAAAATATAGTTTGTGTTGAACTCAGGCAGAGACTCCTTAGCTGTTGCCTTGGACAGTAAGCCAATCTATCACCCTTTCAGTTTTCTGGGGTTCACTCTCCTTGTGCATTTACGATCACACGGATCATGGCGAGCTATTTTTATACACCCATGCTCCAGGCTACTATCAAAACGCTTAGCTTTATGTAAATTTAGACTAAATCGAACACAACCCATATATTATATATATTGTAGATGTAATAATGCTTAGCATTGGCGAGTGGAGTGAGTGAAATAATTTACACGTGGCATGAATAGCAGAGTAGATAATTACTAAGTACAATATGCATACAATCAACACGCAAACTCAGAATCGCACAAGACCCATATCTCAGTTGAATTTCTGTGCTTAATGGGGACTGCCCCCAAGAGGATTCGATTTAGTTCCGCATGCTCCATGTGCTTGGGAGGACACGACATAAACACAAGCCCTTAAAACCCAATGAAATCAAAAAATTGTAGCGAAATGTTATGTGTAAATGTAGCAAAATCCAAAAACCAAATGGCAAAAACAAGAAGCTGATTAACTAGTTCAATTTACATGTGTCGCGAAAAGAAAATAAAGAAGCATAGTATATGTAATCAGAATATTATATGTAAATGTTTAAAGATGATCATTTGATGAGAAGCACTTGTTATTTATGCACAGATGGAACTTTGTGAAGAATTTACAAGAACAATCTTTGACAATAAAAGAAAAACTGAATTTTTTCCTGTGAGCTGGACAAGCGCATCGGAGGCATTGAGAATTTATGAAAAGTTTTACATTCAGATTTTGAAGTTTTGACGCGAATCAGAAAATATTGTTGAACATTTATTTTGGAAAACAAAGACAGAATAATCCTGACAATAAGGCAGACATTTGGTCAATGCCATACAATAACTGGATGTGCAGTATCCTAAATGTAACTACATAAACTACACAGACACGTATAACCAACTAAATGCTTAAAGCAACATGTCATACAATACATGATATATATACTTACACACATATATTATATAAATGTTGGAAAATAAATGTATAAAACCATATGTTTTCGTAAATGTCTTTTAATAGTTGTTTCCCGAAGTATCTCCAAATACCAGCTGTTGCAATTTTGTCAACACTGCGCCTAGCTAATAAATGCTGCCTTATGCTACGGATAGAAAATCAGGTGACTGCATCTTCACTTGAGGTAGCTCTTCACCACTTCGCGCATGTCCTTCATGACCTGTCTCTGATCGCTGGCTCCCACTACGGCTGTACCCGAGACTATCATGTTCGCTCCGGCCTTGGCACAGCACTCGATGGTCTTGGGTCCCACTCCGCCGTCCACCTCGATGTCCAGGTTCGGGTAGCTCTCACGCAGCCACTCCACCTTTGGCATCATGTCAGCCATGAAGGACTGTCCGCCAAAACCGGGTTCCACGGTCATTACCAGCACAACATCGGCAATGCTCATGTACTTCTCCAGAGCTTTTACCTATAAAGTGAGTACAACATATACATTTGAATAAATTCAAAAGTTCAAAAAAAATTAACTTCGCAATAGAAGATTATAAATTCAAATTTAAGAATTAAGGACTTGCGGTAAAAAAATTTATTTCTGGAATTGAGTTTGGGTAAGTGTTAAGAAGCAACGAAGTTATAGATCGACCCGCTTAGTGCTGCTGATCAAGAGAATTGTAACTTCTGGAACACTATCTATTTTTTTGTGAAATAATATTGAATTCTAATAATTAATACATGAGAATCAGTAATATTTATCACAACTAAACTAGTATAAGTAGTTTTACATAAGAAAAATTATACAAGAAAGCAAGCAAGCTTCGGCAAGCCGATGTTTATAAACCCTTGCAGCTATTGAAAGATCAAATTCTTTAAAACGACTATGTTTCGCATATTAGTGTAGGCACAAAAACAATGAAGCTAGTCAATTTTCTGCTAAATTTTTCGGTCGTTCCTGTAACAGCTATACTGTATCGTTGTCCGAGATTAATAAATTTAATTCTAAAATAGAAAATCCTAGATCTCGAAGCTCACTTGTATAAATTTGAAAAAAAAATTCAAGCTATATTTTTTAGTTTAATTTATTTTTTTTAATAATTTAACCATTACTAAATCTCAAAGAAGAAAAAAACATGAAAGGTAGTTAACTTTGGCAATCTAAAGTTTAGAAAAAAAACATCTAAATTTGGTTTTATATGCTATGGTAATTTTCAGCTCCATTATTCGCTCCTATGGCAGCTATATGTCGTCTTTTCGATTTTTCAAAGTTAAAAGAATAATTCTGAATTATTAAACCGTTACTCTATCCAAAAGAATTAAAACAATGTAAAAAATAGAGAAGATACAATTTAAAAAAAATTTGTTTTTGTTATATTCTTTGAGTTTAATCAAATTCAAACCATAATTCTAAAATAATAACCCATTACTAAATCTTAAAGAAGAAAACAGCAAAGTGATAATTGTTGTTCCTTTTTTTCCCCCAATTGTTCCTATGGGAGCTATATGCTATAGTCGTCCGATCCGACCCATTCCGACTTACTATATATACTATGTGGAACGGGAAGATAACTTTTAACAAAGTTTCATGCAGATAGCTTTAAAACTGAGAGACTAATTATCATAGAATCGAACGGAGATGGCTAGATCGACTCTCCTAGTGATTCTGACTGTAAATATTTATACTATATACATACATAGGATCGGAAATTTCTTTGTCACTGCGTTGCAAACTTCTGACTGAAATTATAATATTTTCAGGGTATACAAATTGAGAAACAAAGTTAAATTTTAAATTCCCTATACATTTTTGATGTTTTTGAGGTTGCAATGATCAAATAATAGTTAATAGGCAAATAAGCATTTAGTTCATTATCTCTATCTTCATATTTGACTTACGTGGTGGTTCACAAAATCGAGTGTTTACTTTTAAGAGGGAGCACTGTGAACCGTAACGTACTAGGAGTGCCAGCACATAACCTCAACTCACCTCGGTGCCGGGCTTAATGGCCAGGCCCACCTTCATGCCGGATTCCTGCACCAGCCGGCTGACCTTGCACACATCCTCCACCGGCTCGATGTGGAACGTATAGAGATTGACACCCGCATCCGCCATGGGGGTGATCCACTGCTCCGGATTCTGGACCATCATGTGCGTCTCGAAGAAGGCCGTCTGGATGGAAACTAGAGTGTGTAACTGGATACCTGGCTCCGGGGACCGCACTCACCTTGATCTTGTTGCGCAAACTCTTGACCATGGGATGACCGAAGGTGAGATTGGGCACAAAGGTGCCGTCCATCACGTCCAAATGCAGGTAATCCGCCCCATTGTCCAGCAGCTTCTGGGACTCCTCGGCTAGGTTGGACAGATCCGCGTTGAGGATGCTGGGACCGATCTTGGCTTGGACGGACATCTTCTTGGTGGCGCAGCTACAGAGCAGGCGGAGCACGACGCGGTTAACTGGCGCCGTCTTGTTGACTTGAGGTCACACAGAGGGGAGCTGGAGCTCGGAACATTTGAAAAGCGATACGATAACTCTAGAGATGGCAATACCATCTTCCTAATTTTATTTATGCAGTTGACATTCCTAAATATTTCAAATGGAGTTTTTATTGCGACCTTTCTGCTGTACATGTCAATTTTAACTTAAAAATTGTATATTTATTCACTAATTTTGTATTTATTAAATATTACCATTTTACGATTTAAAAATTAAATTTACACATAGTTTTTAAAATAAAATAAAATATAACTGGCAATTTAAAAATTTTTCATCATATTATATGCCATCCAAGCACGACCATCTCTAGTCATTAATCGATTGCAGGCGTTGCGATGCGAATGTCCAAACAAAAGAGGTATTCCTCAGAAAATTCACTTTATTTAAATTTGTTCAACTTTGAGCTTAAAAATACTGGAGTGCATGAGAATGTTCTGGTGAAATCGTTAATCTAGCCTAGAGTTCGTCCTTTTGAGCATGGACACCCGGATACTCCTTGTTTTCGATAGAAACGCTCTTGCAGCGCTCCTGTTCGATGAGGAAATCCTTGGCCTCCCAGGCTTGGGTGCCGTCCTTGAAGAGAAAGATGGCTCGGTTATCGTCGACCATGTAGCGCTCAGCCTGGATGTGGTTGTTCCAGAGGCTGGTTTGCCACAGCTTGGTGATGGTGTCTCCTTCCTCCCTGGTTGGCTCGCCGGTCACCGACACAAAGGTCATCAGCGTGCGCCCCTTCTTGGATATCTTCAGCAGTTCCTCGGGGTTCTTGCTGTCCAAATTGGATAGATCCAGCTTGGGCTGCGGCCGCAGGTGCTCGGGCAGCTCATCCGCTTCCAGGGGCTCTTCATCCTCCTGAAAAAGTGAAATATTGTAAGGGGTTTTGAAACCGATAAGATTATGTTCTTGGCTACCGGCCCCGTCGGGATCGTCACTCACCTCCCACTGATCCAGCAGGCGCTCCAAGTCCGCCTCGCTGTAGTCGCGAATGTCCTTCTTGGCCCACGCCGGTTTCTCCTCCTCCTTGAACTTCTTGGCCAGGACAAGCGGCGCGAGCGCGAGGAGTATTAAAATAAGCCGTGTTTGCATGGTGTTTTAATGTTTGTTTCCCTCAGTTTGCACAATTCGCATAGCCAAACACGTCACCTATCAGCTTGCCATTCGCACGGCAACGCGGCCACACAGAACAGCTGTGCAGCACAGTCGAGGGGGCGAATGGCGAAAACAGCTGTTAGTTTCGGGCGAGCATTCAACGAAGTCGCGTCGCAAGGAGTTACTTTTTGTTATTGCGTGGAAATGCCGCTGGTAAATGGGTGTAGTAAATAGAGATAAAGCCTCTGCACACGTGTTGTGAAACGAACTGATTATTACCTGCCGCACTTCGCCCTGTTTCCTAGTTTCTCAATTTTTTTGTTTTCGGAACAATGGGCCTGGCGGATTGTGCCAAAACATTCAAAATGCGTTCTCCGATGACATCATCGTCACTGTGTTTTTAATTCGCTTCACCGTTCCATCTGTTTGGTTTCTGTGCCCACGTACATTTTAGAATTACTTTAAACCACACAACGAACGCAAGAGATTTTGAACGCCGACCACAACCAATTGGAGCACTCGAGAACATTGAAGGAAAATCAATAGGAGCATCTGCTAGGACACGATGGTCTTCGAGGCGGTGGTGGCCGATGTCCTGAACAAGGTCCTCGGCGACTACATAGAGAACTTGGATCGCAACCAGCTGAAAATCGGCATTTGGGGAGGTGAGTTTCGGTTCCCCAGGGAAATATGTCTTAATTATGCTCGCCTCTCACGCAAATTCATCATTGTAAATTGCGTGCCATTTGTTTATTGTCTCATCTGCACTGCACGCACGTAGAAACAACAACAACAGCGACGACCTTATCCTTGGCAACTTACGATTAGTGACCTAATTCTGTCGCAGAAAACACAAACGTTAATCGGCCGCATTCGCAAGTTCATGAGAAAGCGATTCACAATCTTTCATGAATTCTAGGGAGAGAAGAGGCAGGGAGAATTGCGATTTGCGATTTGGGTTGGGACAACTGTTGCATCTCGCTCTGAGAGGAGGCAGTTCTTGTGGCTTCTCTGTGCTGCTCATCGGCTGTCTGTTTGTTTGTCTTTTACATATATAAAAACTACTTGTATCGGGTGTCTGTGTGAAAACGTAAGCAACTTTTGGGTCTTTTATCTAAAAGTACTCACATTTCGTCAGTCGCCAGTCCGTTGGCATTCCAGATATCACACACACAACCAAACCCCTGTAACTCTTTGTAAATATGTGGGGTGTGAACTCTCGAGACCGAACATCACCACAAAAATACCAAGTTTAGGAGTTCAATTATATACGGCGGCCCAAACAAACGGGTTTGATTGTGATTTGTGACGCAGGTCGGGAGTGACAGACTCTGACAAGCCTGTTTTATTTCGGCTGACCTTGAACTTGGTGACATAATGCTGGCCCCGGCGACTTCGTAAATTGATGTTAATCTTAACGCATTTTTAAGTTCATTTTTAATTTTATTTTGCGCTTCTGAAAACCCCTTCCCAACACATTTGCTTGACTTATCGTTGGAAAGCCTTTTTATTCAGCTATAATTGCTTGGCTAGATACATATGTATAAACTAATTTTATATTAATTTTATATATATATTTATTTTAGACCTAACAACATAGGAAGTAAGTCTTCCAAATCCTTATATTGTTTTATATTTTATTTGTACATAAATCCATAGCCCATTAATCCAAAAAACCAGATAACAACTATTTATTTATTTATTTTGATTTCCGGTTAACATTTTTTTGGCAAAGGTTTTTGTGGTACCCTAGTAAAATGCACAACGAAGTTTCATTCAGATAGTTTTTTAAATCGCCTTGTCTGACTTTGATAATCAAGCTTTAACTCAACATTAATTACTAATAGCCTATGCCAGAGTTAATACCAACAGAGATTGTATTAGTTCGATTTCTTACTTAGAATACCTTGATAACGAAATGTTTTATAACCTCAATAAATTGTGAAATATTTATTTTTAAATTCTATGATTCGTACAGAGTTATCAAAGTTACAATTTATTAACAAAAAAAAAAAAAATTTTCCTCATTTAATTTAATTTAATTTGTTGAAGAGTTATAATGCTTCCGAAAAGCTATAACTCAACAACAACTGAGATTTTTGTGGCACCCTAGTAAATGCACAACGAAGATTTTGCAATCTAAAAGTTTCATTCAGATAGTTTTTAAATCGCCTTGTCTGACATTGATAATCAAGCTTTAACTCAACATTAATTGTCAATAACCTATGCCAGAGTTAATACCAATATAGATTGTATTAGTTCGATTTCTTACTTAGAATGCCTTGATAACGAAGTGTTTTATAATTAATCTCAATAAATTGTGAAATATTATATTTATTTTTAAATTCTATGATTCATACTGAGTTATCAAAGTTCATTTATTCAAACAAAAAAAAATTGTGCTATACTGAAGTGCTATAATGCCTCCGAAACGCTATAACTCAACATTAATTAATAATAACCTATGCCTGAGTTCATACAAACATAGATTGTATTAGTTAGATTTCTTTCTTAGAATAGCTTGATAACGAAATGTTTTATAATTAATCTCAGTAAATTTATTATTATATTTTATGATTCATACTGAGTTATAAAAGTAACAATTTAATGAAACAAAAAAAAAGATTATCCTGATTTTAATTAATTTTTCAAAGTGCTATAATGCCTCCGAAACGCTATAACTGTTTATAAACCCAATCAGCTGATGTAATCAATATTGACCCCAATCAGTCAATTTTGTGTGTGTTTTCTTTGTATTTAATGAATCACATTTGTTTTCATTTGGCAATCACCGCGTGAAGCGTAATATATATTGGCGACTTAAAGCATTTCCAATACACTCCAGTCAATGACTCCTGTTGTTTATTAAGGTTATCTAGTTAAATATTTGCTTAATGAATCAAGTTGCCTGTTATTACAGTGCTCTTATCAGAGTTATTTAAATTAAACACCATTGTATCATATGCCGATAATCAAACACAACTTGTAGAATTAAGTGTAATTGACAGATATCATGTGTCAGTAAAGTCATATATTTTCTTATCAGCAGAAAGCGAACCGCCTCGGAAGTTGCATAAGATTTATGAGTTTGCTGGGTCGTTAAACTATTGACCCACATGCGTAGCTCAATATAAACTCACCGTTTTTTGCTCCTAATTTCGCATTCCAAGCACAACAAACATTAAACAACGAAAATGCCGCATGCCCAAAATGCCAGTCGCTGGTAAATAATATTGATATGTTGGCGCGGCTGTTGCTCATTCCATCGGTATACTGAATACTTTGCTTCCTAAAGCCTCATTCCGGGGCCTCCGTCGTATATAATTAAGTTATTGTTGGCTCCCTTCGTAATTAATGAGCGATAAATCAATGGGCATTTGCTTCTAGTACTGCAATTGACTGATTACCGAAACTGATAAGACTAATGGAATAAAACTCTATCTTTGTTTGCCAGGCGATGTGGTCTTGCAGAACCTCAAGATACGCGAGAATGCGCTGGACGACTTGGACCTGCCTGTGCAGCTTATCTACGGTTACCTAGGTGAGTGAACTATGCTTACCCACAAATTCGGAGTTGTTCACAGTGCAAACTTGTAACTTCTAGGCAAACTGGTGCTGAAAATCCCCTGGAAGAATCTGTACAGCCAGCCGGTGATTGTCAACATCGACGATCTCTACGTCCTGGTCTCGCCCAACAACAATGTGCAGTACAACGCCGAAAAGGAGGCCAAATATGAGATGGACCTCAAGAAGGCGGCGCTGGATGCCCTGGAGGCAGCTCGAAAAAAGGAGCTGGAAAAGGGTGAGCAGCGGTTAAAGGAATTTGCAATCGCAAATAATAACACACTTAATTGCGTGCAGATCAGCCCAAACCCGATGCCGGGTTTGCCGAGAAGCTAACGGCTCAGATCGTGAACAATCTGCAGGTGCAGATAACCAACGTTCATCTGCGCTACGAGGACACCACCACCACGGGCAGTCCCTTCTCCTTCGGCATTTCGCTGCACGAGCTGGAGCTCTACACCACCGACTGCGACTGGGAGAAGTGCTACATGGCCCAGCAGGCGTCGCAGGTCTTCAAAATAGCGAATCTCTCCTGCCTCTCCGCCTATCTGAACTGTGGTGGTCAGCTGTACGCCGACGATAAGAGTACGCTTGCGAGTCAGTTCCAGGCGAACATTGCTTCCAAGGATTCGAAGCCCAGCCACTACAGCTACGGTAGTAGTTTTAGATGCAATAAGTCTGAAACTCCTCACTGATTCCCCTACATTACAGTGCTCGGTCCCATCTCCTGCAATGCCAAGCTGAAGCTGAACATGAACCCGGAGCTTGATAACCCTCCCTTCGAGAAGCCGAAGATCGACCTCACCCTGGAGATGGAAAAGCTGAACGTGGGCATGACCAACACGCAATTCGATAATCTCATGAAGCTGGGCGATGCCATGAATCGCCAGCAGTTGGGCATTCCCTACCGGAAGTATCGTCCCTACAACTTACGTAAATAATGATAGTCTATGTATGCCTTCAGTGGGTCATGAAGCTTTGTTTATTTTCTTGCAGCCTACAAAGGTCATGCCAAAGAATGGTGGCAATTCGCAATAACTTCTATTCTGGAGGAGGAGGTCAAGAAACCCCGAGAGAGTTGGACTTGGCAACACATGCGGACGCATCGTGAACTCTGCAACACCTATGCACAGGTGGGTCCCATGATCGAAAGAAAGAAAAATATCGTCTACACGTTATTTGTTTTCAATTCAGAAATACAAGGAGCAGTGCCTCAACAAGAAGCCGTCAGCTGTGCTGACAGAAACCTGCAATTTGCTGGAAACGAAGCTGGACATATTTAACCTGCTGCTGATTCGTCAGAGGGTCAACATCGAGATAGCCAAGCAGCGGGAGGCAGTGCCGGAGCAAAAACAGGGATGGTTCAGTGGTTGGGGATGGGGTGGCGGCGCCAAGAAGGATGAGCAGACCGCCGGTCAGAAGTTAGGCAAGTATTTAAGTTGTCCTTTTGAGAACCATTCCTTCAATTCTTCTTCCAGTGGAGAAGTTCGAAGCGGCGATGACAGCCGAGGAGAAGGAGAAGATGTACAGGGCAATTGGCTATCAAGAGAACGCCAAACCCAGGGATCTGCCCGACCACTACGAGGCCATCAAGATGAACTTTAAGCTGATCGCCCTGGAGGTCGGGCTGTACAAGGACGACCACGCAGGCACCGTTGAGTCGTACGACTACCAGGCCCTGCCTTCTCTGGTCCTGTTGAAGTTTTCGATGGCCACGGCTTCGATCACCCAACGGCCAGCTGCCGAGGCCATAAGCATCACCGCCGGCATGAGGGAGCTCAAGGTAACGGGTCTCAAGCGGAAGGAGTGCACACCCTTGTTGGTGGAGTCGAAGATCACCGACGAGTTCAACCTGCTGGACGTGTTCTTCGAGACGAACCCATTGGACAAGATGTGCGACCAGCGGGTCAAGGTGGTGGCGCGTCCGCTGCAGATTATATACGACGCGCCCACCATCCTGGCCCTGATCAACGCCTTCCAGCGGCCTGGCGACGTCACGCTCTCCAAGTTTGAGGACGCGGCTAGCACGCAAATGTCCAGCTTCAAGGAGCGCTCGGCCACCGGCATGCAGTACATGATCGACAAGAAGGCGGTTCTGGATGTGGACATTCTGCTGATGCCAAACATTCTGGTCTTGCCCCACAAGGGAGTCTACGAGGCGGACAACACGTCGCTGTTGGTTGTCAGCATGGGCCAGGTGCACCTCTCCAGCCAACCGCGTAGGGAGCACACCAAGCTGCAGCATCTGTTCTCCGCCGGCGAGGACAAGGACGAGATCCTCAAGACGGTGATGGAGAATGCCTACGACAGGTTCACCGTGGAGGTGGATGACGTGCAGATGCTGGTGGTGCGAGCTGGGGAGCCGTGGCAGAGTGCGCTGAAAGAAGCCAGCTCCACGGAGATGCACGTCCTGCGACCCGTTTCCCTGAAAGTCACTGCCGCACTCTGTGTGGTCGACAACGATCCGCGACTGCCCAAGATCAAAGTGGACATCGACCTGCCAGCGATCCTGGTCAATGTCTCGGAGGATCGCGTCTTTCTCGCCATCAGGGTGGCCACGAGCATTCCGCTGCCGGAGCAACAGCAGCCGGGGGCGAAGGTCACGCTGACACACTCGCGCAGCTCCATGTCCATATCCAACTTTATCAACAAGGAAGTCAAAAAGATAGGTCCAAGCAGCAAATCAGCTCCGATGCTCGACGAGATCACGCAGTACACCAATTTGGACGTTAACTTCTCTCTGGGGGAGATCTACTTCGTCCTGTTCCAGTCCAGTACACGGAGCGAGACGAGCTCCGACGTATCCATTGAGTTCCTAACCCCAGACGGTGATCAACTTCCTTCCCAGCTAACTGATCCAATAGCGGAGCCCCTAGAGCGACCACCGCGAAATCCTCCCCAACAGATTTTGTCCATCGACATCCGCCGACTAGAGGCCCATTTTGCATCGCGAACTTACGAGTCTGTGGCCACAGTGAAGTGAGTAACATTCAGAGCTGTGTGTTGAAAGGGTTACGTAATGAGGCTCCTAACTTTCAGGCTGGGGGACATTAATCTGCGACAGTACGGCTGCAGTGAGAGAGGCCTGGAGGACCTGGAGGTCATCCACACGCCCAAAAAGGAGAACAGCTCCAACTACCTGTTCACCGTCTCGTGCACCATTGCAGACAAGACATCGCCAGAGTTCAGCACCAAGTATAACTCAACGGAGCAGCTGGTCGTGGCCAACTTCGAGGTGCTTCAGATCGTGCTGCACCAGGAGTGCCTGCAGCGTCTCATGGAGGTCGTGAACAACTTCCAGAGAAACCTGGACGTGGTACTTTCGACCACCCGGCCACGAGATCGAATGGGCTCCATTGGGGCTGGCGATGGCATCAAACGGACGCTTAATGTCATCCTCGAGGACACGGAGGAAATAATGACCACCAATCAGATGAAGCGCCGCAAGAGGACGCGCCACAACCGCGTCGTAGAGACAGTGAAGGTGCGTGTGATCGCAAATCTAGACGAAGTGGGCCTTCTGCTCACCACCCGAAGTCGGCCGTTGGCCGAAATGAACGTGAAGAAATTCGTATCCAGTCTGATCATGAAGTCGTCCTACACTGAAGTTAATATTGGCCTGAAGGACATCCAGGTCTTGGACCTAAACCCTCACACCATTCACCAGAATGTAGGTGCCTCTGGGCCGACAAAGTACCGAAAATCAATTATTATTATTATTTTCCTTCCTAGATTCTGAGTATTGTTGGCAAGGACGCCTTCAACTGCCAGGTGGTGCTGTACAACAAGGAGGAGACTCTCGACTACAACTCCGATGACATGAAGATCACGGTGGATATTGGCTGCATGAAGATCATCTTTCTCAACTGGTTCGTGACAGGCGTGTTGGTAAGGGCTTTTGCCAATACATCGCTTGATATGTGCTAATGCGCCTGCTGCGCTTGCAGAACTTCCTGAACAACTTTACAGAGTTCCAGGCGACACTGTCGCAGGCTAGTGTTGCGGCGGCGGAGTCCGCTCGCCAGAAGGCACTGGATGCCTACCAAACGGCCACCCGCATGAAGCTGAATGTCCGCATCAAGGCACCCATTATCATTGTGCCAGTTGGCTCAAAGGACTCGAATGCCCTGTCGCTCGACTTGGGTCTGCTGGAGCTGACGAACAACACGGTGGAGGTGGCGGTGGCCAATGAGGAGCGGCTGGCCGTCATTGACGAGATCAAGTTGTGTATATGCGACGTTAAGATTTCCAAGGTGGTCTTACTGGATGGCAACGAGTCGACTGTTGATGGTGAGATCAATTCCGATTTCACCAATACCTTTCAACAACTGGTTTTTTTTTTAAGAATTGGACGCCGCTGTGGGTTATTGTTCTAAATTTAATATGATGAATCCCATGAGTTGCACCCTGCTGGTAACCCGTAACTTGTCGTACACCTGGTACAGGGATGTGCCCGAACTTAACCTTTCTGGTCGCTTGAAGTCCATAGAGGTAAGGATTGATCAGAGAGAATCTCAGCTAAGGCTGTGACTTTTACCCAACTTACAGCTCACTCTCTTCACGGACGATTACGCCTTGGTCATGATGATCCTAAATCACAACATCAACGAGGGATTGGATGAGTTCCCCCCCAGCGAGGAGGCGATACCGGAGCCAAAGCAACCGATCCAACGACGTAGTTCTCGTGTTGATCGGACTCCCCGCGCTGTCACTGCTTCTCCCAAACGAGACAAGATTCACGAATCGATGAAGTTCAACTTCCAGTTTGACGGTGTGATCATAAATCTGATGGAGGGTGAGTAACTTATAGCGATGCTCCCAGGTTTACTGAACCAACCGTTGTGCCTTCAGGTGAAGACGCAGGACTCGCCCGGTTTGGATTATATTTCCTTTCCATTAAGGGCACAAAGCTGGACAACGGCACACTGAGCACCTCAGTGGTTCTTTGCAATGTCCAAGTAGATGACACGCGCAAGAACTCCAAAAGCCAGATCCGACAGTACCTAAGCCGCAAGGACTGGGTTCAGCCCAAGTTGGATGCGGAGGAGATTATCGATGCCTGCTACAGCGATCGCAACTTCATGGTCGATTTGACGGCCATAATAAAGGAGGGCGACACATTTGGTGGGTGTCACTTTTTTGCCTGCAGTTTATCCATCTTATGTCCTAAGACCTCCAAACTTTCTTACTGTAGCTGAGGTCCGAGTGCGAGCCTTCGACCTGATCGTCTCCATCGACTTTTTGCTGAGACTGTCAGCCTTCCTCACCCTTCCGCCTGACGAGACTCCTCGCTCGTCTTCGATTGTGAAGCCAGTACTGGTTGCGGAAACATCTCAGGAGACCAAGCAGTCCATTCGCTCCTCCGCCCTGTTGGTCGCCAACGAGCTTGTGCCTGCGGAGGTAAACGGTAAGTGTGAAATCTAGGTCACTCTCAATACCCCTTAATATCGCCAGTTCTTTTGTACCTATCGTGCAGTGCCGAACCGTAAGATGAACCTCTTACTACACATCGATGAACCAGACATAATATTGGTGGAAAACCTGGAAGATCTGAACACCAGCTGTATTATTTTTAATGTGGGTCGATTCATTGCCGAGTTTTACTGTTGCTAATGGCTCTGTAACATTTTTAGGCCCAAGTTAATTTGAACTACCGCAGCATTAACGACAGACAGATCATAAACGGTCAGATTGACGCACTCAAGATGTACATGAGCGCTTTCCTGCCGGAGCGGCGCGAACTGACCCGCCACTACATCCTGCATCCGTGCGTCATTAGCCTGCAAGGCTCCACGCCCGAGGAGGAGGGTCTGCACATCAGCCTGAAGCTGAGCGACATCATCGTCAACGTGTCGCCGGCCACCATTGAGCTGCTGAACAAGGCCATGGTGAGCGTCACTAGTGGCAGCTTGGCGAAGACCGCCATTGCCGAGGAGTCGCGTAACTACTCGACCCTGTGGCATCAGCACCACTTCCACAGCCGCTCATTCTGGTTCACCAGGGTGGAGCAGGCCGTCGAAGCCATGGAGGTGGAGCAGATACCAAGCAAGGAGAAGCTAAAGACGGAAAAGTGCGTGATCGAGATCCCCAGCATAACGCTGGTGATCGAGTCCGGCGTTGGCTACTACACGAAGCCACTTATCTCGCTGGACACCCGCATCACAGCCGTATTCAACAACTGGAGCCGTAATCTCACTGCCAACGGCTCGTTGACACTGAACATGGTAAGAGGGCTTAAAACCTTCGACAATCTTAAGTATGCTTAAGTATACGTTAGACCTAAACTTCTACTGCGCTTGCAGAACTACTACAACCAAGCTCTAGCCGAATGGGAGCCAATCATTGAGCTCAACGAGGTGATCGGCCGCAACGGAGTCCACGAGTACACCCCTTGGGAGCTGAAGTTCGAAATGGGCATGGAGAAGGTGCAGAGCGAAGTGGAAGACGATGTCGAGCAGCAGGCCATGCACATGAATATCAGCTCAGAGGAGACGCTCGAGATCACGTTCAGCAAGTCGTGCCTGGGCCTGCTGAGTGAGCTTGGCGAGGCCTTCTCGCAGGCCATCGATGAGAAGGGCTTGACGAAGCCGGAGATCGTGGCTCCTTACGTGGTGGAGAACGACACTGGCTTCGACATCAATCTGGATCTCCGCAAGGGCATCTTCACGCTGCACGAGGTGCACCGGGGAGGCACCTCGCTGGGTGTGAGCAGTACCCTCCTCCTGTCCACCAATCTGGCGGAGGTCGATCCCAACCAAATAAAGACCTGCACGATTTCCTCGGGCGGTCGAGCGTACCTGCAGACCAAGGACTTGAGCACGTTGTCCGAGGAGGATGCCGAGGACTACAGCCTATATGTGACGGTAGGAGGGCAGGCTTCTCTGTGAATCCGGAATGCTCAAACGGTTTACTTTGCAGATTGGCGACATTAACAAGGAAATCGCTCTGCCCGTGTCCAAGTCGGACACTCGTTTCTTTAACCTGATGCGCAGCACGTCCCAAGAGCCGTGGGGCATTATCTCGGAGGTGAAGCAGGAGTACGGAACCACGAAAATCAACATTCACGGAGTTGTCAGTGTAAGTGCTTGCATTGGACTATTGCTCTCATCATTTCCTAATCGTTTCCCCTCACTTGCAGGTTCATAATCACTTTACGACCGGTATGAACATTTATCGACGCAATCCCGCGCCCACTGCTCAAAGCTTCGAGGATATTTACGTCGGACGGGTTCGTCCTGGCGAGGTGTTCCATGTGCCGTTGCACGCCATCTACGCGGAACACAAAGACCTCTACTTCTCGATGAAGGGCTACAGAACCTCAGTGCAGGGCATTTCGTGGAGTGCAAGTCCCTCGGACCTCAACTATTCGCACCAGCTGCATTGCGACCCGACCAAGACGTTTGAGCCGCTCATCATTAATGCGCGGAGAAAGAAGTCTGAGGTCTACTTCGAGAACACCACGAAGTACACGTTGCTCAGCGCCTTCTACACGATTCACCTGCGCCCGCCTCTCTATCTGCGCAACTCCCTGCCCATCAATATCCTAGTGTCGGTGGCCGGTTGCTCGGTCCGAAAGGAGGACGGCCTGGATGGCCAGTCGTCGATGAAAGTATTTGACAAGGGATACAGCAAGGAGGATTTTCTGGACTACGGTGAAAAGGAGGTTCAATCGGGCGATGTGCTCCATCTGCCCACAGTTCGATTAGCCTCAAGGGACAAGGAAGCGAAAAGCTTCCTCGTTGTGCGGGTGAGTTATTCTGAATTCAAAGTAATATCCAACCAACGAGCCGAGCCCTCGCCTGTTTAGCTGGTTCAATATCTGGAGAAGGACTGGTCCTGTGCCACCGAGATCTGGGAGTACAGCGATGACGTTGTCACCTGGACGTTCTCGTCGTACGACTCGGAGATGAAGGTGGACATGGATCTTTATGTGAAGTGAGTTATTACAACTACTATAATTATTATTTAATGCTGTGTTATATCAGTTAAGAGTACAAGCTGAGATATTTCAACATTGTGGCTTAATGTTAATTTCTTTTACACTTTTAGTTACATATATTATATTTTAATGATTATGATTGACTTATGTAAGAATGAGATAATATTTCGGGTGTATTTTGTGTCGGATTGGATAAACAGTGCGTAGAGCTTTAAAGAAACTTGAGGTAATGATAAGGGCTATGTTTGTGTCATTGTTGTCAAGATAGTGTGCGTTGATCTCACTTGGTATATTCTTAATCTTTTTAATTCTTTATTTATATAAAGCTAACTTATAGGTAAAACTAAATGCTAATTTAGATTATAAGCAATAGTGACTGTCGTCTTCCGCTCGTTTAAGGTGGCATTATTTAATAAGTTTAAGATAACAATTTGAACAGTTTAGATTTAATGTATGAGAGTTGTTTTTGTAAGGAAAGTAAGAATTTAACTTGTGTCGTTGTTGGTGGGGCTTGCTAAAATGGAAAAGGGTTGTCGGTAAGAAAAGTTGCTGATCTGTGTTGGGAAAAGGTAGGGCAAAAGATTAGGATGTTTTCTATGTTTATGGGAGCGCTGTTGCAAAATTGGCAAGTTACTAGAAAGTGCTGTGTCTCCAAGTCGAAGACGCTTGATTATTATTTGAGTGTTTCTGCTGTAAAAGGTGTGCTTATATGAAACGTTTGGAGGAGTATTTTGAGAGATTATAGGTGTATCAGGGAGAGGTGTTGTTAAGTAGGTCTATTTGTTTTGATTTGAACTATTTTTTCAGATAGTGTGTGATGTCGGTGGTGTTGTTATTTTGGGTGTAGATAAATGTTGCGTTTGTGAGTGTTGTGTGTTGTAAGTTTTCTGATGATTGTAGGGTATAGGTTGTGCTTATTGGAGTTAGTAAGGGATTTTACGGAGGATAGGGAGGTGCAGATTGCGTGTTTGCCTGGGGTTTGTAAAGCGATCTTAACCGCTTCATGAGTTAAAAAGGAAAAAAAATCGAGGAGTATTGGGGGAGGAGTCCAGATTTAATTGTTATATTGTCATCTGTTACGCTGTAAGTTATGATGTCGTTTGCCTTAGACCCTTCGGTGAATAGAAATTTGTGTGTAATTTACGGTATAAGAGTTAGTTTGGCAAACGAATATGTAGTTTCGTTACCCTTTATACATAAGATAGTTATGGGGAATTGTTAGGTTAAAAGGTTTCTAATGAAGGAAATGATGTATGATTTGAGCGTAGATTGTAGGATTAACAAATAACAATTTCTTACCCAGTGTTCATTCTACTTTTCAGGACAGAGAATCGGCATGGCAGCATGATGCTTACGATCTACAGCCCCTTCTGGATGATCAACAAGACGGGAATGATGCTCACTTACAAGACCGAAACGACCTCCGTGGAAGTGCTGTACCACCCTCCCGAATACTCTGGACCCATTTTGTTCACATTTCGAGATAAGTTCTTCTTCGACAAGAAGAAGGCCTCGATCCGCGTCGACAACGGCCAATGGAGTGAGAAGATCCCCCTGGACGTGGCCGGTTCGATTGGCGAGGTGATCTGCCACTCGAACAACCAAAAGTATCCCATCGGTGTTCACAACCACTTGACTCAGAATTCCCTGACCAAGCAGATCACCTTCATCCCCTTCTACATTGTGTGCAACAAGTGTCGCTTCAGCATTGAGCTGCAGGAGCAGAGCCGCCCAGCCGATCCCTGGCTGCATCTGGATCCGAATCAATTCGAACCCCTCTGGCCGAGAAACGACTCCAAGAACAACATGGTGGTGCGAGTGGATGGCAATGTGACTCCGGCCTTCGACTTCACGGAGGTGATATGCACGCTTCTAAAGCTCGAAAACAGCAGACACGGCGGCATCAACGTCGACGTCCAGACCACAGAGGGCGGCGTCTATATCACCTTCACCGACTACAAACCAGCCGATGCTCCCGGCCTGCTGATCAATCACACCGGCAAGCAGGTTGTCTACTACGAGAAGGGGACGAGAAACGAGCAGATCCTCAATGCCAAGAGCACGGTTATGTATGCCTGGGACGATCCGACGGGTCCCAAAGCTCTCATATTTGGCGCCAACAAGCAGGAGACGGATCTGAAGCGTGACAATATCGGCGAAGTGGTGTAAGTAGCCCATGGTCCTCCTTGTGTTTGTGTTTTGCCTTTCCTAATTACAATTACATACCCACAGCATGCAGGACGGCAGTAAGGTTCTGTGGGTATCCTTTTTGGACGGCCTGCAACGTGTGCTCCTCTTCACCGAGAACGAATCGATCGCCAATCGCACCGAGAGCACGGCTTCGCTGCAATCCATCACCCAGAGCATCGATCTGAAAATCCACGGCATCGGACTTTCGGTGATCAACAACGAGTCGGGCCTGGACATACTGTACCTGGGCATCACCAGCTCTGGAATCATTTGGGAGTCGAAGAAGGTGACGAAGAAGCGCTTCAAGGAGTTCACCATTTACGAGAACGGGCTCCTCGAGAGCGAGTACCAGAAGTATCTGGTTCACAAGAGTGTCAACGACGTGCAGACCTACAAACTGGACAACAAGTTCCCGGTAATATGACCAAAATTCCTATTTGTCGATCGGAAACTCAATCGCAACTTTTCAGATCGACTTTGACCTTATGATCCTAAAGAAGTCGGTGGATCGAAACATAAAACGCAGCTTTTATCCGGCGATTTGGGTGTCCCGCAAGTCGTCGCCATTCCAGAACCAGCTGCACGTCAAGATCAATCGCATCCAGGTGGACAACCAGTTCATGGATCCAATATTCCCGGTGGTGCTGGCGCCAATACCACCGCCGAAAAGCGTGGCGAACACCACCACCCTAAAGCCGTTCATCGAGTGCAGCATGGTGCAGCGCATCATGCCGAACTCGCAGGTGCGGCAGTTCAAGTACGCCAAGATCCTGATCCAGGAGTTCCTGTTCAAGGTCGACCTGCTCTTCCTCACGGCCATAGCGGAAATGTTTGCCAAGGAAGTGTCCGACGAGGTGGCGGCCAAGCAGTTCCAACAGGACGTCGAGTCCATTGAGATGCCTCTCTCCGCCTTCTTCGAGGAGCACTCGCTGGAAGAGCAGAAGAGCTTCTACGACAACCTGCATTTGGGCCCGCTCAAGATCCATGTTAGCTTCTCGATGGCCGGGTCGGACACAAAGGCGTTGCCCGGCTTCCTGGGCACCTTAGTGCAGGGCGTGGGCGTGACTCTGACGGACGTCAACGATGTGGTCTTCCGACTAGCTTTCTTCGAGCGCGAGTACCAGTTCTTTACCCAGCAGCAGTTGATCAACGAGACCACCTCGCACTACACGGGCCAGGCCCTGAAGCAGCTGTATGTGCTCGTCCTCGGCCTGGATGTGCTGGGCAATCCCTATGGCCTGGTGGTGGGACTCAAAAAGGGCGTCGAGGATTTGTTCTACGAACCGTTCCAGGTAAGTCAACGCTCATTTGCCTAATCACTTATCTACAAGTTGTGTTGTATTCAAGGGCGCCATTCAAGGACCCGGTGAGTTTGCCGAGGGTTTGGTGCTGGGCGTGAAGTCCCTCTTTGGCCACACGGTGGGCGGGGCTGCAGGCGCCATGTCCAAGTAAGTGGCACCCCTTTCAAATTGATCGAAACCAAAGTGGTGTAACAACAATCTTTAAAACCTTAAGGATCACTGGTGCCATGGGCAAGGGCTTGGCTGCACTGACCTTTGACGAGGACTACCAAAAGAAGAGGCGCCAGGGAATACACAACAAGCCGAAGAACTTCCACGAAGGACTAGCCCGCAGCAGCAAGGGCCTGGTGATGGTGAGACCTTGCTGAAAGAGGGTTCCTTTCGTTATAATATACATATGTTATTACTTTGTATTCAACCAGGGCTTTGTGGACGGTGTCACTGGCGTTGTAACCAAACCCGTGAGTGGGGCTCGCGACAACGGAGTCGAGGGCTTTTTCAAGGGCCTGGGCAAGGGTGCTATTGGACTGGTGGCTCGCCCCACCGCCGGCGTGGTTGACTTCGCCAGTGGCAGCTTCGAGGCTGTGAAACGGGCGGCGGATGCGAGCGAGGATGTGAAGCGCATGCGTCCGCCGCGCTTCCAGCACTACGACTTTGTGCTGAGACCCTATTGCTTCATGGAGGCGACGGGCAATAAGATAATGAAGTAGGTGATGATCGCACTTAATCGGTTTAATAGTTTAGCAAAACGTGCTTTGTTTTCCTTACAGGGAAACCGACAAGGGCAAGTTTGCCACCACGGACAACTTTATCCACTGCGAGGAGATCATCCAGAAGTCCGAGTACCTGGTGGTGACCAACTATCGCCTGATGTACGTCCAGCGCAACGAGATGTTCGGCATCTGGACGGTAAGTCTCGCAGCGACCCTTCAGCCATGCGAATTAACCAGCTAACCATTCAATCCTAGTCCCTGTGGTCCTACCTCTGGAGCGAGATCAGCTCCGTGGCTGGCACACCCCGCGGTGTCCAGATCACAGTCAAGGCGGAGGGCAAGAAGGTAATGGGCCTGTTTAGCAGCAAGGAGTCGCCCCGAAAGCTGGTGCTGCTCGGCGACGAGCGCAAACGTGTCGCCCTGCTGGACATCATTGAATCTCAACGCTCGGACCCCAATCCCCTAAGGGCCACCCTCAGCTATCCGGGGAGCATGTAGCAATAGACCTGAATTTATATCCCTACTGTATTATAATCCACGCACATCCCCACGGCACCGCAACGACATGGAAATCTACCTCGATCATCAAGATTCTGTCTGTCCAAGCACCTTGCACCATGCACATGCCCCCAATTGGAGAGGTCACACTCACGTGTCGTACTTTTACGTATGCTAACAACCATTATGTTTTGATATTAAAATTTTATGTCAAAGTTTATGTGACATCCGGAGAGTGGTTTCACTAGCTTAAGGACTAAATCTACAATACAGAGACGAGCGGGCTCTCCAGGATGCCAGAAGTTGGATGTTTGATAGCTGATAGTTGACGGATGACGGAGGTGCGGCAGTCACACCTTCTTCAGGAAGCTGCTGGGAGTGGTGGCCAGGGGCATGATTGGCTCGTAGTTGTTGCAGCCATCGCTCTCGCAGAAGGACGTCAGCGAGGCGAGTGCGTTGGCGGCCAGCGCCTCCACGCTGAACATGGTGGACAGGTGGCCGCTGCTCTCGAACTGGTTGATGATCATGTTCACCTTGCTCTTGGCCTCCGCCTTCAGGCACGACGGCGACGTGGGCGGGCTGCCGAGCAGGCCCGGATCGCGTTCGCCCGGACTCGCGTCGTAGCCCTCGCCCAGTTCGCCGTCCGTCAGCAGGTTCTCCTTCTCGCTCTGCTTGCACCGAGCGTTGCTGGGTGAGCCCCCACCCGTGCTGGGCGTCTTCGGTCCGGTGCTCTTGTTGAGGCGACTGAGGAACCAGTTCCGGGCGAGCTTATCACAGTCCTTGCTGGCCGGACTCGTCGACGGCATGGTCGGCGACTTGCGCTGCTTCTTCTGCTCCTTGGTGGGCGTGTGGGCGGGGCTGGTCAGCGGCGACAACATCTCCGCCTCGCCGCCATTCGTGTAGCTCTTCTTCACGGCCTTCTTCAGGCGGTCCGGACTCGGACCACCGGGCGACAGCTGAGTGGAGAGCTCACTGTGCACGGTCTTAACCCTGGCCTGGAAGTCCAGCGACATGTGGCCATGCAGGCTGGAGGGCAGCGGCTGTACCTTCAGGTCGGCCTCATGGAGCAGCCCCATGGAGGACTCCACCTCCCCGCCCATGGAGGCCACTCCGACGGCGGTGTCCTGCAGAGGCTGGGCCGGACACTTGGGCACATCGTACTCGAAGCGGCGGGCCAGGGCATTGGGACTGTTGTTCTTCTCCGGCAGCTTGGGCAGCACCATGACCGAAGAGTCCATCAGGCCGTAGATGGGCGACGGCTCCTCGTAGATGATGTCCGCCGTCGTGTAGGTGGACTTCTTCTGGACCGGCGGAGTGGGCAGTTTTCGGGGTGGAGGACTCTTCAGGGGAGGCATCGGATGGGCAGCGACGTCCCCGCGGATGGCCGCCTCGATGGCGTGTATCCACTCTTTGGCATCGACCTCGTTGCTGGCCTGGTACACGAACTTCTTGTTGGGGTCGTCGGTGGTGATCTGGAAGCAGACGTCGCGCCGCTTGCCCTCCCCGAAGTGCTCGATCTCGATGGAGGAGCTCTTCAGGTAGAGGCTGCTGCTGGGTCGGCAGGCGGTCGGCCCGTCCGCGTAGCACAGCATCCAGTCGTTGAGGATGCCGCAGTAGCACTTCCTGGTCTGGTCGAAGAACAGCCGCTTCGGTACGATCCGCTGCAGCTGTCCGTACTTGGTGGACCGCTGCAGGGCCAGGTGACCGGCGGGCAGGTCCGCGTACGGACAGTCAATGATCAGCTCGTGGGTGAAGGTTATCGCCTGTTGGGACTCGTCCTCCTCCTGACCCGTTCCCTGCCCCTGTCCGTGGCTCTGGCCCAGGGTCTGGCCCTGACCCTGACAGATCTCGTAGAGCTGCTGGTGGGGCTCGTTGTCCGCCGAGCACGTAACCGGTTGGTTGGCGGTGCAGCGGTCCAGGGACCCGCTGCTGCCCAGATCAATGTATTCCCGCGAGGCGGACACTGCAATTAGAGGTAATTAGTGCGAGTTGTAGGCATTAAGTACAGTCGAGCTTCTTAAACCTCAAACTCATAGCATTATTAGATTGTTTCCAACCTCTAAAATTTAGTAGGGTGTTTAAATGTTGCTTTTTCGTTTTTTATATCTTCAATAAAAGCATAATATTTCAAGAAAATCTCGATCGGAGCAAAATTTACGATAGTATGACTTTTCTATACCTGTTCAAAATTTTAAAGCGTTTTCAAAGTTGGTGCCCATCATAACTTCAAAACTACAGCTTTGATTGTTTTGAATTTTGGAACACTGGTTCTGTACATTGGCTAGAACCGAGTGTTTTCAAAAAGTGAAAGATTGCAAAGCAATTATTTTGTTATTTTGATTTTATAATATCGGAAGATCCAGAAGTTATGATGGGCACTGAACTTATATCCAGACTAATTGCTTCCTTTGCCGTAGTACTTAATACGCTTTCATGTTAATTTAACAGTATTACCATTACCATTAGTTTTTAAGAAGATTTATAACTGTTTTGTCAAACAAAGATCGCAAAAAGTGGCCTTTTTTCACGAATAAGAATAGTTTTTGTGACTTACAAATCTTTAAAGATAATCTACCCTGATTCCTGTTAATATGCCATGTTATTAAATCCTTTGTTTTCGGACCAAAGTTTAATAACCATTTGATTGGTTGATTAACGTTTAATAAAATGTATATTATCTAAAAAAAAAAGAAATTATATTTACTGGTAAGTTATTATTGAAGTCGGCAGTTTCTTATTAGTTCTTCGTAGAGTTTTCCTGCTCACAACAATTAGAGAGTTTGGAAAAGTATTAGGATACTAATTGGTGTGAAAAATTATATCACTGGGAATTTATGATTCTTTAAATCAACACATTTCGAAATATGTGCATTGATGTTCTGTTTGCAAGGCATAAGTATCGCATACAAAAAGTGTGCAAATAATGTTTCATATTATTTTTATTTCTTTACCCAAACACATTAACTTTAATTAATTATTCTTCAAAAATACTTTAAAGTTCATTTATACGAATTTCAACGAATTTCATCACATGGACTGTCACAAAAATCTTTATAGAGGTTTGAAGTTGTTTGGCAATATAAAATATACAATAGTTAAAAACAAACGGTTACAAATTATTTTGATTTCTTAAAAACAAAACAGTATTGTTTCAAATTTAGGTAAATAATAAAGGACATAATGTATTTAAACTTTTTGTGGCTCACTTAAAAAACCTCAGCTCAAATTATTAATCTGTGATGGACAAAGGCTTAGTGTAGCTAATTTAAGTTTGAGTTATGCAAGTATGACTGTAAGTATGCACTCACGCGAGTTTTTTGATGAGGACGGGGAGGCGAGCATCTCCAGATAGCCGCTGGGACCGGTCTCCCCGCCCACCTTGCTGTCGACGCAGTCCACCAGGCTGGTCCGTTGGTTGCCCGCCGCCTGCTCGTCTGTGTATCCTAGTCCCAGTCCCGATCCCGATCCAGATCCAGATGCCGCCAGCAGAATCTCGCAGCGGGCGAGAAGTGCGGCGGTCTGCTCGGCGGCCGTCATGTGGAAGAGATTGGAGGCGTTCTCGTACTCCGAGGTCTCCAGCGAGGCTCGGAAATGGGCGCGGACATCTGCAATTGAGCCGGGGAAGAGGGAAGATCGTAAGTTCTGGTGCTCGCACTCAGCTATTCAGCTGGCTAAGTGAGGCGGCGGCCCCATTAGCTATTAATTTTTAAACGCATCATTGCTCCTAATGGCCGGCGATTGAGCAAGAGTGTAGTTTCCAGGGGGCAATTAGTGGGCCATTGGAGTGGTGGTGTCTCTTCTGCTTTGGCTTCTGCTTCTGCTGCAGTGACTCACTGGGCGGGAAGTTAAGTACGCCGGTTCGCAGTAAAGAAAGACCGACCACATACACACCAGTGACCTCATATAGCGCAGCGCTTGCCCAAGAGTCAACTGCGAATTGACCGCGGCAATTAAAAATAATTTCACTGGCCAAGAAAGTTAACTCTGGTGTCTGCGACTCTGGCTCCCCACCCTGCTCCGAGTTGAAATGCCCACATCCAGAAGTATAAATTATTTAACGGTACAGAAAGAAAAACATAAAAACACTGAAATTTGCAAGAAATCTTGTTAAAATTTGAGCACGCAAAGCTCTGGAGAGCTGCTCTTTAAACGTATTACGTCCGAATATGGCAATAAGCAAAATGTCCGAAAGTCTTGCTGGCAAAAGCCGAACTTAAAATGCCCTCCCATGATTCAATGGGAAAAAAATAATTTAATTTTCACATTTTATGTGCATAACTCTTTTATAAAGATTAACCATTAAAATTCTTTTGTTACTTCCTACCGGAAACATGCGTATTGTTCTGCGGTTCAAATCTAAGCCAAACAACCCAAAACTGAAATATTACGCTTCTCTACTAGAAAGTGAATAATTGAGGGTATTGAGAAAGATTGTAATGTTTTTTCTTTTCAATGCATATGAAAATCGGGCATTAAAACTGATTTTGTGGGTGCATTTGTTTCTGCAAATTCAGCACTTAGACTTTGTCCCTTAGGGTAAAAACGAAAATAAATATATTTTGAATAAGATATAACTTATTTTTAGAACTGCCCACTCTTTACTTTTCTCAATGGTCTACAAATTGTAATGAGAAATCGCGTGATAACAAGGGGTTTAACCAGGATCGTTGGAAACTCCCCAGGGACTTATTTGTTCGATATTTTAATATCAACAATAAGCTGCGATTCAGCCAAACAAAGATAAACTAAGGCAACAGTCATCGGAGGAGGCTTTGATACAGTGCTGCCCATGCCCTTCATCTTGCCCAGAGCCAGTGAACCGAAACCTGAGAAAATTAAACTGACCAAAGAAGACGGCCAGGGAGGGGAAAACGAGGCTAAAACAAGCGCTTTGGGCTTAGTTTTGCGGCATGTCCAATCCCCTGTTTATTGTCTACCTTGTGCATATACACATGAACATGTAGCTACATACATACATATATAAATAAGCGATTCGGGGGAAAGGCGGTCCAACCGAGGAGTCCAAATCGGTCTCCATGAAATTTACGAAATATACGCAGCGAGAAGAGTCTGAACCAGAACAAAAGAGTATCAAACTTGGACGCTTGCGGAATGAGTCAATAATACTCTGGCACTGGGTTATTGTTAACGCTGCTGGTGTGCCGGAGTTTGCTCCTCCGCCTCTATTTGGAGTCGGTTTGTAATTTTTTGATGGCGCTGTTTGCCTGGCAAAATTAACAAAGTTTCTGTTGATCTATCTCACACTAACTGGCTTTAATTTTGATCTTTCTTTTCAGCTACACCCAAAGAAAAATATTAAAATCGTCGGCACAGGTATAAAGAGTTATATTTATAGTATAAAAATATTATTCAGGTGAACGTTATTGTAAAACGAACAAATCTATCTTTGAAAAAATAAATATTTATATGTACAAAGAAGTTTAAGTTATATATTTATCCTACATTTTTTTGTTCTTTTTTTATAATCAATCTACTGCTACCTATTATTATCTATACCTTGCGAACTTTTTAATGGGATAATAACTCGGCTCCATTGTAATAGCTATTTTAATGAATTATCACCTAAAATCGTTTCTTTGTGTGTGCACACAAATCAACAACAATCTTACCCAACAAAAACTGATCAATTTCGGCCCGCTTAGTAGTTGGCTTTGTATCCATGGCTTGTATTGGCTGGTATTATTCTTGCCGTTTTGTATTTTGTATTTTGTATTTTGTGTTGATTTGAAGCGTTTTGCGTTAATGTGCGTCGAGTGCTTGTGATGCTGGCGATCGTTTGATTTCGCGCCCGGGCTTTATTGTGGCTTCTCTCCGATCTGGATCTGAACAGTCAGCTGTATCATCTGGCATATCCACCGACTGCACACACACCACACTGAATTTTGCCTTACAAATTAACAGTTTGCTGTCAAAAGTGGATAACACATTTTTATAAGATCACATGCACAGTCGCTACCCATGGGATGCATGGGATGAATATCTTCGATTGGGAGTCAAGCGCGGGACACGACCGGAGTGCAACTGAATGTACATATTCCCGGATTATCGGCTGCTCGTCGTACGGAAAACACCTCCCCCGCTGCGAACCCGCTGTAGAGTTGTCCTATTTATAGACGGACCATCGATGCACCACTATCTAGCTATCCACCTATCCAGCTATCCAGTTCACCAGATACCCGTACGCGTCGAAATACAATAAACAATCTCTACTCTATTGCGCCTGCAGTTCTCGCTCTATTCGTTTTATTTGTTACTTTTGTCTGCCGTTTTTCACTATTTTCGCTTTTTTCGGTTGCACGCTTCGTTTGGCGCCTCATGGAAAATCAACTGATGACGTTATGTACGGGTATCTGGCAGCCAAGTATCTAGATTCGTTCGGTGGGGAAACGAAACTGTGTGCCTGCCATTAAATGCCATTACGAAATCCCTCTTTGGTCCGCCCAACCCCCACCCCCTGCACTTGTCTGGGTGTCTCCGTTTTTGTTTAATTTTCATTTTGAGTTTTTCACTCTTCCGTCGTGTCTGTCATTTGCGGTTTCCACTGTTTTGCGGCTAAGAATCGAACACAAACACGGAGACGGGTGCCCACACGCAGAGGAGCTCGGACTTGGGATTAGGGACCCGGGAATCGGGAACCGGGGACTTGGGACCTGTGCCTCCGTCTGGGCCTCTGGTTTGGGGCCAAGCCTTTTAATTGTGACTCATCTGAACAGCGACGCGTGTCGCCACAAAGAAGCAACAGTCTGGCCAGTAAAATGCAAATACAGTCGAACTTCTGTTAGACAAAATTACATCTGCTACACAGAAAAAGAAAACTCTTTTAAAAATGTATTAAATTGAAATTAAAATGACAAACTGTAGACTTTTGATTAAAGATAACCATAGTAACAAAAATCAAAGAAACATTTTCTATTTTCTAAAATACCTTAAACTCTATATAACGTGTACATATTTCTTTAATCTTAGTTAAGTTAAGGTGCGAAATATAACACTTTAGTTAAAAAGATTCATGAACCAAAGAGAATATGAAGAGAAAAACCGTAAGAAAATGTTATATTTTTAAATTTTAAAATTTAGTTATGCTAAATTGTAAGTGTTTGTATTAATATTTGGACTTTATTGACTTTTTTGTTTAGTGTTTCGAGCGGTAATAATTTTACTGTATGAGCAAAGTGCTGACCATTTCTCTGAGCCACACTATATACATACACCTGCTGTAGGTAAGTACGTGCCTAGAGACTGCTTTTACTTTTTGATTCTTTATTTTTTATCAAGCCCATAAAATCGAAATGTAATTTAATTTGCACTGGACTATTTGCTTCCTTTGTGGCGGCCGTTAAAAATATTTATTGATTCAGAACATTTGCAACTCGGCACCGACGCCTTTGTTTGCTGTTGACAAACGTACGGCGAAGTCTGGACCGCCACTTTCGTTCCGCGGAAAAGCTAGGCAAACTGTTTACCAGCTGGCTGCGCCGCGCGACACTTTTCCAGCCCCGAAACTAGACGGAAACCTTTGCGCAGGCGTGCAGATACCGATAACCCATCACCATCACCACCCCCATCTCCACCGCTTTCCCCGCACTCCTTCCGCACTTCCGGTCATTTTCGACGGCCCGGCTTCCTGCCGCTGCAAAGCTCCCAATTAAAGAATTAAGAATGCATCCACGCACAAAGTTTGATTTCGCATCCGGTTTTCCACTGCGTTCTGGTAACGTTGACACCTTTTCGCTCGCGGGCGAACTTTTCATCGCCGGAGCCAAGAAGCGAGCGCAACTTTCTGGCTGGTGCGCCACCATGAATCACTCGAGCTTAACTGACTTAACCGACTGACTTGGGGCCTCGGCCTCTCTGGCGGCCTCAGCTCTGGGATGCCAGCCCCAGCCGATGGCCACCCGAACGCAGCCGAAGTGCCCTCGGCTCCGGCTCTCTCTGCACTGCGGGAAAATATCACTTTTTGTTTTTTTTATTTTAATCGCACTTTTTTTGAGAACAAAATTGGTAATGAAAGCTTATTATTAAAGTTATAAATTAAAGTGATCTACATATATAAAGGATAGGACTGTATATGTCATTTATTCGCCTGTTTGAATATCATTCCGTTTATATCCCCGTAGGCGTAGTGACCCGTTCCCAGAAGGCGACTACTACAAATAGGAACGATCTTTAAGACTAAGTTAAGACTTTAAAAAAATTTGTTGGGCTCTGTTTTGGCCGATGGGGCAGAATGTCCCAGTTTTTTGGTTTAAATAAAACTTCAGTTGTTCAAAAGAAATTCAAGGTAATAACTTTTTAAATGAATACTATGTAGGATCAATAAAAAAGAAATAAGATTTGATGGAAAAATTGATGATGAATATGCGATCGTTACGAAGAAGTAAGATTGTAAATACGTATTTTGTTTGATATTTAATATATTTGCTATTTGCAAATGATATATTGGCTGCAGCTGGTAAAATAAGAACATTTTCTATTTGTTTTTTGCAATATACAATTATTGATTACTTAACTAAGGTTTGATCTTCACGACTTTCTTACTCCGTTAGGAAATGATTTGTTTGATGTTATTACAATTATTCTTTAAACTGACATAATTATCATATATTTTTTTTGCGTGTAAAACCAAATGAGTTTGCATTGGTTTTTTTGGGGGAATCGGCAGCCGGCCGGCTTGAGACATTTTGAAGCCCACGCCCAATCCCCGTCTACATTCGCAGTTCCCATCCTCTACTAGGCAGTCAAAAATTCTATCGCTTTTGCCACATTTAGAGAGTCGAACCTGCCTCTGATATCATATTTTAGAGAACATCATGTCCATTTTGGTAAAAGCCAAACAGACTAACCAACTACAACTACAGTAATACTTTCCTAACAAGAACGTCTTTGATAGTTTATACTGAGATAAGACAATGTTGTATTGTGAAATAAAAGTTGCAGCTTCCATTTATCTAAAGGATGGTAAAATAAAGATAAACTAAGGAATAATTCTTTACCATTATGACTTTACTATTACTATTGTTTATGCTTTTTAAAACTAACAACATTAATTCATAACTTAAATTTACTAGGAGGCATTTTGGAACATGGTTTAAGTGGTTCGAGCCAGAGGGACTGGACTGTAGAACCAGAAATCTTCTAATGTGGCAGGCAGATGTTGTTGTCGCAGCTGCCGAGAAATCCGAGAGTCTTTTTCGCAGAAAGAGGGAGGGCGAAATCGAAGCCAATGTGGGACCGGAGCCTTCGCCTGTGCGTGAGCTCTTTGTGCAATTGGCGGCAGATAAAGCGGACTGCCGAGAGCCAAGAGCCGATCGGGTGCCCTTTTTGGGAGCAGATTCGAAGGACGCGTTTCTCAAGACGCTATGGCAAACAACTCAATTTTAATTAAACGTTGCGATCCGAGAAATAAATTAAGCATGCAGGCCATGTTGGCTGCGCAATATCTGGACAACCTTGGACAACCCGCGTCTCGGGCAGCAGTGATAAGTGCATAGCCGTTGCGTGACTCGACCCAGAAGACCGGGCGGCTGGATAACAGGTTCCCACCTGGGCTGGCTTTATCAAGCGGCACAAAGAGCCTGATTCTAGTATTGTGCTAACGCTTAATTATGTGCCACAACAAGTATTTTCATTCAGCTGGACCACAATCGTTGTACCTAAATGCAGCGTCGCAGCGACTTTGCCCGCTACTTGAGGAACGCTTGCAGGCGGTTCTGCTGCGACTTGCTGGCGTCTTTAAACGCGTTCGATTTCAGCTGAGCGGCCAGTTGCAGCAGCACGTTTTGCTTCTGCGTCTTGGACTGCGTTTTGGCAGCGGCGGGCGTCGGCTGAGCGGGCTTCTTCTTTTTCTTTTTGGACGTCTGATGACTGGAGTTTTGGGAAGCTATTCCAACTGGTTGGGAAGCTTTTTTCGACGGCGCTGGCGATTTGGCAAGATGCTGTTGCTGCTGGGGCGTTTTTTGTTGCTGCGGAATTTGCAGGCCTGCATTGATATCTTTATTCGGCGCCTGGGACTTATTCTTTTTGCCTTTTTTTTTGTTTTGGTCGGCTGCCGCAGGCTGTGTGGCTGTCATTGTTTCCTCCTTGGCTTTTGGTTTAGCGCGCTTTCGTCCCTTCTCCAGAGGCAGCATTGTCTTGTGCCGGCAAACCTCGCAGTCCACGGCCTGTGAAAAGAGATTTGGTTTAAGTCGGGATAGTAGGAAGTAGTCGGCGATGATATAGACACTATTTTATTTTAAGTATAGATTGCTAGTAAACTTGACTTTTTGACTATAAAGGCGTATTCGCTGGAATACGTCCTATTCACTGATAGTTCTACTGATATAATACAAATATCGAAGTGATATAAGATTCTGGGTATTACCTAAAAGATATGTATGTGCGTACAATTGTAAATATACTACCTATTAACCTTGATAAATATATTCAATACATATACATTTAATATTGAATATCTGCCACTGCAGATCTATTTGTAACCGCTACTGTCAGAGCTATCTAAAATATCACTGATGTAAATGTAACGCATTTTGAATCAATTTGATTGTAACTATTTGTTAACCGAAAACTCATTTTGGTACCACCTATTAATACTTCCCATCGCTGCCACTTGCTCCCGGCACTTACCATTTGGCTGGCCATGCGCTTCTTCAGCCACTTGGCCCGTTTCCTGGCCCCGCTACTCATCTCGCCCCTAATCTGTTTGGCCTTCACGTCTTCCAGCTGGGCGATGAGTCTCCGTTTGTTGGCACTCTGGCGCAGCCTTTGCGGCTGGAGGTGGAGCTGGTAGCGCCCATCTGCCCACTGGTTTCCGCAGCGGGAGCACATGCGTGCAGATCCGAAGCTTTCCTCTGGCAACTGAACACTGTTCCGGGCCAACTTTCGACAGGTGGTTCTGGATTGGGTGGGCATAAATAATATTGTATTAAGTGGTTCGGGAATTTAAAACGAAACTCACATGTAATGCGACTTGAGAATCCGTTCTGTGTGGGATTGGTCGGTCAGTTTGGAAGCGCAGTTCCATAGCAAATCCATTGTCCTTTGATCGCTCATGGCTGAAACATTTATATGAAAAAATTTAAAATTAATTTAACTAAAAAAAAATGTTTCAATTTAAAATATTTATATTTATAAAGAAATTTATTAATTGACAAGAATGAAGACAATATACATTTTGTTATTATTTAATTATTAAAATGTATTTTGTAACAAATTTCTTTAAAATATAGATCCTACAATCAACTTACCGCCTAAAATTCCAATACCAATTTATATTATAATATAAATGAATGGATAAATAGGTAAATTATTGAATTTAAAATCAGGGGTCTAAATTATTTAATCTATTAAAACTGCTACGGTTTTTTTTTAACATATATTGATTCTCATAAAACGTGATCATCCTTGTCTTTTTAACGCTAGATTTAAAGCCAAAATAGACAGCACTAACAGCACAACGTGCTGAGCTCAACAATAAAAATACTATAAGATCTTTAGCTTGATATCACCTTCTTAACTTACCAAGTTGACTCGTTAGTTTGGAGGGATTAGATGTAACTTTTTGGTTTTAATAGAAAACCGTAGAAACACTTATCTCTTTTGCAAGCATTAAAAATGCTAAAAGCAGCTGTGTTCACTCTCGTAATATACAATCGGTTTGACAAAGTTGCCACCCTAACAAACTACCACCACTTGGCAACCTTACGAAACTCACCACAACCGTTTTCCTACCAAATTTGGTATTTCAGCGTGGTCAGTTGATGGTCTTACTGCATTTGCGCGTCGTTTTGAAATTATTCAACACATCTCAAACGCCAACCGCCGAAAAAAGCAGAAGCGACGCGCATAATTTCGAATGCAAACGGCCGCGCAGCCCGCAAGTAGTGAATAGCAAACATCCGTTGAAAATCGCAAACGTGAAGTGCCGAGCAGTACAGTTAATTAAATTCTAGAGTGCGCGCAACTAAAATCCGCATTTGCATCGGCATTTGCAGCAGCTGCAGCAACAACAATGGACCCGTTCACTCAGGTACGACGGCATTTCGCACACAACGAAGCCCTTTGTCTCCGGCATTGGTGTTGGTAATTGCACTCACGGTTTTTCATGGCCATTTTCCATTTCCCCCCGCTGCAGCACATGCTCGAGAAGGCGGAACAGCGCAGTCGCGCCCTCGGCATCAGCAACGCCAGCAAATTCCCCCCTCCGAGCTCCGCCACCTCCTCTTCTGGCGGGGATGCTGGGGTCCTGGCCCCGAGGAGCCACTCGCCGGGAGTCCAGAGCACGGTCAGTGGCGGCGGCAAGGTCGTGGTGTTGGACAAGGCCATGCTGGAGGCGTCGCCGGCCAAGCCGCTGCGTCACTATGCGGCGGTCAACAAGGAGAACATGGAGATGGGCATCGAGATAAACATAACCACCGACAAGCCGATTGGGGTAAGTACCCGCCCTCTTTTGGTGTTCTGACCCCATTGCTCATCTGTGCCGGCCCTCCTCCAGGTGCAAGTTGAGATTCAGGAGCAGGAGGTGACCGATGACGACGAAGAGGAGGAAGCACGCGCTACGAATCCCCTGCTACAAGCGGAGCCAGTGAACCAGCCGCTGGCCAGGCTGAGGGACACCTCGCGCAGCAGATTGCAGCGCATGGGCGCACTGTACTCCAACGCAGATGACCTTTCCTCGCCCATCCACCGCACAGAGGGGCAGTTCCATGTGAGAACGAACGAGGACGAGAACAGCGACAACCGCAGCAGTAGGCAGCCCAAGCAGAGACTGGGGAAACTGGCCGCCCTGGCGGACACAATTAACCAGTGGGAGGATGACACGTCGCACCACGAAGTGCACAGACCCCTTGAAGCGCCACCACCAAAACCGCACCTGGCCAGCAGGCGGGCGGAGAAGGCGCCGGCTCCACAGCCGCCGAAGAAGGACGAAGTCGACGAGGCCGCCGGTACGAAGCAGCTAAAGTGGGATCCCAAGGTACTGAGCTCTCTGGAGGCTCAAGGTTTTCAGCGCCGTGAATCGTCGACCCTTAAACACACCTATGATTATGCCAAACAGGAAGAAGCGGCGCCAGCTGGCAAACAGGATGGGGCAGTGCCAGCTGCTAAGCCGCCAGTGCCGGAGAAATCGACGACGGTCAGTCAGGTGGCCAAGAGCTTTGGCTCTTCTGCTCCGGCACCCAAGCCAGGCTCATCAGCGCCTCCAGTTAGTGTAAAGACGGGCTTGGTTTCGGGACGGGCGGCCATTTTTGAGAGCAAAGGTGGGCAGTCGCAAGGCAGTCTTCGCAACCAGAAGGATCCATGCGAACTGTCGCTGAAGGAGCGCATGAAGCTGTTTGAGACAGGCAACAACAAGGCCATGTTGCCGATGGCGCCAATAGGATCCGCACCCAGTATTAGCCAAATCAGGGCGGAGGAGGTGAAACGTGAGTTTGACAGCACTTTAATGATATTTGGAACCTTTTTCACTGATTTCTTTGACTTAACAGAGCATTTGGCGGCAGTGCATCCGGTGACGGCTGCCGCTGCGACTACTGTAGTTGCAGCAACCAAGCCTAAAACAGAAAACAAGCTGCGCGACAAAGTAGCTGCTTTGGTGGCCAATGCGCAATCAAGTGCAGAAACCCGCATCAAGGACATCGATCGTCAGAGGCAGGAGGACATGCAGATCATATCGAACCGTTTCAACAAGCAAAAGGAGCTCTTTGACAACCAATCAGCCGCCAGTTCCGTGCCAGCTCCGGCTCCGGCTCGAGCTCCAGCGCCAGCTCCAGCTCCCAGCAAAGCAGTGCGGCCAATGCCGCCGCCTCCACCGCCGCCAATTGCTGGGCTCGCACCCTCGTTGGCCAGCAGCAAAAGGAGATCACGTAAGAAATGAAACTAAAGCCACATATTCCCAGGGCTTGTGGCTGACACTTCCGCATTTTCAGCTGGTGATGCGCCAATCACCGACGACGACTCCAAGCGGGCCCGCAAATCGCATTCCGATCGCCTGTATCCCGCCCTCTCCGACCTCGATTCCAGCGGGGACAACGGCTGTGCCACCGAAACAGCCTCCGCCACGGACGACAGCCATCAACTGGACGAGGAGGAGACCGAAAGGTGCGCTGACAAGTGCTACTCCTGCTTGCTATTCCTGCTATGCATCGAGTAGCACTCCAAGACTGATAGCCCTAAGACGAATAGCTTTAAACCCCACCCTTAGACAAGACCAACAATAAAATCGCTTTATTAACTAACCGCTTATCTTTGATTCGTGCAGCTGCATGGATGAGTCCGACGACCAGTCGCAGACTGAGGACAGCAGCGCCGGCATGTGCAACGGCAGTCTGGGCCGCGAGATAATGAGCGCGGTGCAGCGCAACGAGGCGGAGATGCAGCAGCAGCCCGGCAAGAAGGTGAGTACAGGCAGAAAATTGAGAACCCAGCGGGTAGTCTCTATTGATACCATCCATGCATCCTTTTCAGACTGTGCGCTATGCGGACCACGACTTGTACTACAATCACGAGGGTCAGGACGACAGCTCGATGAACTCCTCGCAGGTCTCTGCCGGCATCGATGACTATCTGGATGAGGCGCTGGTCGAGGACTACGGCAGCACTCAGGATGACGAGAGCGACAGCGGGGACGAGCACAATGCCAGTCGACTCTCCTTGAGCGTAAGTATTTATGCAGCAGTAACTTTAGAATAAATTACAACAATGTTTAATCTTGCAGAGCAAAGGGACCACGGCCTCAAACAGCTTTTCCTTCCGCAAGAATCCAGCCTCCACATGTACGCCAATCGAAGAGCACCATGAGATGATGGACTTGCAGACACCTCTGCCAAGTGGTGCACAGCCGGTCAAGTCCGAATTGAGCGTGAACCAGGACAAAGACAATCTGGTCACCCTGGTACACACGGTCAGCTTCTATCGCCGCCAGCAGAGCGCTAATGTGAGTTTCCTACCGTGATGAGTTGAGACAAGCCTAACTAATGTTGCATTACAGAGCTCCAATTCCACGCCGGTGCGCAAGATCTGTCGCGAGCAGCAGGTGACGCGATCAGCGCTCGCAGGCGACTGCCATGCCAAGCACAGACTGGAGTACGACTCCCCTCAGCAGGGTGAGAACGCCGGAGCAGCAGCTGGTCTCACGGACGATCAGACCGACGAGGACGACGAAGAGATGCAGAACGCTCGCGAATTGAACGAGGCCGCTCAGGCGCAGGACAAAATCAAGAAGCTGCTGAGTGAGGTGTGCAAGCAGCAGCAGGTGATTGGGCAAGCCAGTCAGGCCCTGAACCTGTGCGCGGCCACCGTCGAGTTTTCCGGCTCCACAGAGTCCGTGGAGGGAGAGCGGTATCTCCTACTGGCAAGTGAGTGTCCCATATTTAGTCGGCTTTATTGCTTCTAAATATCTGTTATATACGGCAGAAATTTGAATAAACATTGCCTACATAAAAGTTACCAGATAGCTGACGCTTCAACTTCTTGCAGCCCATCGTCGCCAGGCCTGCTTGGACGAAGTCCAGCGTTTGAGAGTCGAGAACAGCATCCGTCCCGTGGGCGCACCAAAGGAAAAGGGCCTGCTGACGGTCAAGGACATTACCATTCCCCTGAGGCAGGAGTACGTGCGTAAAATGGCCTCCGGCAACATCAATGGTCACCATCTGGTGTGCCTACTGAAGTACAATGAGCACGTGCTGGCCACCAAGACAGTGCCCACGATGCCTGGCCTGTTGTCAGTCAAGTTTCCCGATGTCCTGCAACTGAACAATGTGTATGCCGACTTTAGGGTAAGCTTTAAATCTCTTCTGTAAATGCGACGTCTCTCTAATTGCGAACAATTGGACTTCAGATCACGCTGGAAATCTATGGCATGCTGGCCCAACGTGATCAGCTGCCTCATGAGTTGAAGTACCACATCAATTTGAACAAGAAGGGAGGCGTGAAGACGCCCAAAAAGAAGGGCGGCGAAAATCGGCTGGTGATGCCGCCGGTGCAGAGTCCGGCGGGTCCTCATGTGGTGAGGACGCCTCAGCTGGTGCAATACGGCTTTGCCATCTTCTCGTTGCGGGAAATCCAACGCACTTCCTGGACGCTGACCCAGGTGCTGGGCGTTAGCCCACTGGAGGGCGTGCTACACATGAAGGTCAACTGCGAACTGTCCGTGAGCGTGGAGCACAAGGGATTCCTAACCATGTTCGAGGACATTTCCGGCTTTGGGGCCTGGCATCGGCGCTGGTGCTATCTGAACGGCTCCGTGCTCAACTTCTGGAAGTATCCGGACGATGAGAAGCGCAAGACGCCCATGGGCAGCATCGATTTGAACGCCTGCCGTTCCCAGAAGGTTTCCACCGCGCCGCGCGACATCTGCGCCCGCCTCAACACCATGCTGCTGGAGTGCGAAAGACCGGCGCTGGACACGGATCAGGAGTCGCTGATAATAGTGCCCAACGGACAGACCACCATAGTGCGCCATCTGCTCTCCGCCGACACGAAGGAGGAGCGCGAGGAGTGGTGCGCTTACTTCAACAAGGCGCTCACCCTGCTGCGCGCCTGGGGAGCCCACTAAACTGCTGACCCGCTCCTGCAATCCTGTCTGCAGCAGGGACACTGTCATTGTCACTGACACTGACACCGATACCGACACCAAACGGGCGGGTTGTTTAAAGTTTT